TATTGCTGTTTACAGTTTATCTCTATCTATAATAATATTCAAGATAATAACCAAAAACAGCAAAATTTCCTTAAAATTACCAATTCAGGGGCAGCAACCCAACAACAGGTTGTTCGATTCATCTGAAAATTTCAGGGCAGATAGATCTTGACCTGATAAACAATTTTACTTCATGTCAGATTTGCTCTAAATGTTTTGGTTTTTGAGTTATAAGCCAAAAACTGCATTTTACCCCTATGTTTTATTTTTAGCTGTGGCCGCCATCTTGGTTGGTTGGCCGGGTCATGCCACACATTTTTTAAACAAGATACCCCAATGATGATTGTGGCCAAGTTTGGTTTAGTTTGGCCCAGTTGTTTCAGAGGAGAAGATTTTTGTAAAAGATAACTAAGATTTACGAAAAATGGTTAAAAATTTACTATAAAGGGCAATAACTCCTAAAGGGGTCAACTGACAATTTCAGTCATGTTGACTTATTTGTTAATCTTACTTTGCTGAACATTATTGCTGTTTACAGTTTATCTCTATCTATAATAATATTCAAGATAATAACCAAAAACAGCAAAATTTCCTTAAAATTACCAATTCAGGGGCAGCAACCCAATAACGGGTTGTCCGATTCATCTGAAAATTTCAGGGCAGATAGATCTTGACCTGATGAACAATTTTACCCCATGTCAGATTTGCTCTTAATGCTTTGGTTTTTGAGTTATAAGCTAAAAACTGCATTTTACCCCTATGTTCTATTTTTAGCCGTGGCGGCCATCTTGGTTGGTTGACGAGGTCACGCCACACATTTTTAAAACTAGATACCCCAATGATGATTGTGGCCAAGTTTGGTTAAATTTGGCCCAGTAGTTTCAGAGGAGAAGATTTTTGTAAAAGTTTACGGACGACGGACGCAGGACGACGGACGACGGACGCAAAGTGATGAGAAAAGCTCACTTGACCTTTCAGGTCAGGTGAGCTAAAAATAAAATATAAGAGGCACCAATAACTAGTTTTGAGTTGGAGAAATCATTCAATGCTATATGATTCTATTTAGGTTCGTGCGTTTTTCGATTGACGAATGAGTCAATTAGAAAAAAAAAATGTAATTGAATCCAAAAAAGAATGCAAAAAAGATACATGAAATAAAGTCATAACATAAGTTTACAAATACGTACCTAGGTGCATTTAATAAAGCAACATTTGAACTTATTATTATCATTTTTTTTTTAATTGTAATTTTATGTTTATGTATATTTAATGTTACCCGATATGGCGTTCTTCTAAAAGATAAAATTCACTTGAATGGGTATTTCTAGTGTATATACATGTATCACACGTGCTATCTACATGTACAATATACGGAAATGACACGGCTGGGTATTGTAAAGTTACCAAAGGAAGATTAATGTCAAATGCATATCCCCGGGCGAAGAATTTACCTGTCTGTTATTTGTGCCAACTACCATCATATTGAAAAGGTTTGAATCGAGCCCATCTCTTCCGCGTGCCACTGGTACAAATCCAGGATAGTTTAAGAAAGTTTTTTATTAAATTTAAACTTTTAAACAAAGAGTGAAAATAATGTTAGCTGGCAGAAAAACTAAGTCCATAAATAAAATACGATTTATTCTACAACATTTACTTCTGGATACTATCTTATAATCATAAACAAGCTTCTATCCAAGTTTGGTAGAAATCCGGGATATTTTAAGAAAGTGATCTAAATTTCAAAAACTTAAACCACAGAATGAATGTAATGTTAACTAAGTCCATTTATACATGTGAAACACAGATAACTAGGATTTTTTTCTCTCCAAAATTTGCTTCCGGATACTATCTTATGATTATAAACATTCATCTGTTAGTATAAATACTGGATAGTTTAAGAAAGTAATTAAAATTTCAAAAACTTTAACCACAGAGTGAACATGTGGATGTCGCTAGCCGACGCCGACGACAGAATGTAGGATCGCTATGTCTCGCTTTAGCGACAAAAGTCGTAGGCTCGACAAAAATGTAATAAACTGTTATACTTTGAACATGTGTATCTAATGTGCTGGTAAACAAGTATATACATTCTAAAATACTTTTTAATAAAAAAAAAAAAAAAAAATACGAGTGAACTATAAAAAAGTGAAGTTAACAAAAAAGCAAGAAAAATTAAAAGGAACAAAAATAAAAAAAAAAAGAATAGTAGAAAATACATTCATTTTGTTACATTGAACTAAAAAATATAACAGACAGAAACAAAAGAAATACGATATAGTAACAAACAGACGAAAAAAATCAGAGAAAATTGAAATATCATAAACATGTTCAATACAAGCCGATTCAAAACGGGTCAAGGTTGAACGAACATGAATTTCTATCGATTACACAGGTGACAATCAACGGAGGGTGGCGCGTGTCGATAAAACATTAAATAACTTTATACTTAATTAAGATATGATTATAAAATTTAAAATTATGTACTTTTCGAAAATCTCCTTCTTTATGCAATGTTTTTTGTGCCAAATCTATCATTCCACCAGGTCCTTAGTGCAATATTTTGTTCTTAGTCCACTAAGGAGGCCCTTTGCGATATTTCTATTTGTCCATATAAATACCGCAAAGGACCTCCTCTGTGCACTAAGAACAACAATTTGCAAATAAGTCTATAACATTTTTGCAATTAAATGCTTGTTTTATTGGCGTAAATGAATGCTGCAGTTTTTGTCTGTTTGTCATTTTCATTTTTAGCCAGGCGTTGTCAGTTTTTTTTTTTGATTTATGAGTTTGACTGTCCCTCTGGTATCTTTTGTCCCTCTTTTTAAATAAAGTGATGCAAAAACAGAATTGGCGTAATTAAGTTGTGGCGCAAATTATTTTTTTTTCAGCGAAATAGGAGCTCGGCCTTCAAACACCGTGTGTACACTAACAAAACAGTCTTCATCATTTACGCTGTCTAGCCTGAGAATAACAGTTTTGGCAATTTGTGTAGGATTTTAATTTTAGAATGTAATGAACAAGTAAGAAGATTGTTAAAAACCTTAAGTTAATTGGAAAATGAGCTATGCATGATAAAAGGAATTAGTTTGGTGCGTCGATACGAAATTTCAGAGGCATGTGATATTTGTAAAATTTTAAGTCTTTCAATAAAAACCATTTGTAGAACTGTATATTTCGATCCTTCAAATATGTGTAAAATAATTAAAAGTTATATTATTTAGTCTCTTTCATATTTACAATTGCAGTATGATTATGTTTATAAATACTGTAGATTTGTATTTGATCATCGATTGCATGCATAACGTCCAGTGACAAATATTTCATGTATTCTAAAAAGAACAAATCAACAACTTTTAGAATACAATTGATTGGTTATTTAAGGTAAATGATTTGCGTTAAAATTGGTGAAACTTGGCCAGAAGCTTACCTCTAAAATAAAGAAATATAAAAAAAAGGTAGAGTTATTTTTTAATTCTTTATTTTAATCATACATGGACTTAAGCACTTTTTACAGTCAAAATAACAGTTTTAACACCGACAGCAAGAATCACAAGCGACGCTGGTTCCATATAAGTCTTCAACGAATTTTACTATATCCCTGGCAATTTTCGGTTTATATCAGACTCTGATATTGAGGGGAACAAATACCATGGATGCCCTGTCTTTTTTTTAATACATGTAGATATAAAACGTGTATCTCATATATAAAACCTCATTTTTAGAACAGTATATATAATTTATTGTTTCAAGGAAATATTTGGATCAGAGAAATATTTGGTGGAGAAGAGAGAAAGAAAGAGAGAGACTTATTTCGCGGTATTTGGTCTCATGTTATTCATGTCAAAATGTGATGGAAGGAAATGTTTCCCCTTTGTTTTATTTAGCAGGGTATTCCATAATGATATTAGTTGCAGATTATTTTCTATCGGTAAGAAATGGTATACAGTTCGAAATCTACATTAAGTTATACAATGTAGTACATTTAAAGTAAGTTTATTGCATTACTAAACGTTTTTCAATCAAGATAAAACGTTTACAACCAATACTATTTTTACGACTAAATAAGTTTTATGTAAATAAGTAGTTCACGTTTCAATTAACTTAGGGTATTGTTTAGGTTAATTTTTTTTTAACATTTTATAAGATCGAATTTGAAATGATTCAAAATTACAAAAAGACATCAAGAACTACGCAATTAGTATGAAACAAAATATATACCTAATAAGATAACTTATTTGCTTTAATTAACAAGTGAAATGTTTCCAATCCAATCTTTCCAATCTAATATAGTCCAAAGGGTGACAAAAGGATATAAATATGGTCACTAAAGGTTTTCTTACGTCTGGCGGTAAAAAAAAACCTTGCCAAAGTGGGGCATTCGCTTGGTTGTTTGGAATATACAAGTACGCAACCAACTATCAATCAATCCAATCTAATAATTTTTTTTTTATCCCGCATCTTTTTATATTAAACTATTTTAACTCAAAACAACTTTCAGAAAGAAAACCCTAACATATATCAGACGCTAAACAAAACGATATACCATACGATAGATGAAACGCTTAACGATATCATATACCATACGATAAACGAAACGCTAAACGCTAAACCATACTATGTACCATACGACAAATAAAACGCTTAACGATACCATGAAACATACGATATACAAAACCCTAAACTATGACATTTACCATACGATGAACGAACGATGAACATACGCTGACCGAACGTTGTACGGACGCTATACGAATGATGTACGAACGATGACCGAACTCTATACGAACGATTCCCGAACGCTACACGTACGATTCCCGAATGAAAAAAGTGTTAACTTTTACGTTACAGGGACTGTAGCTCAGCTGACACTGTATTTTGTTCGCCAGCCATAGAAAAAGAAACATAATTTTATTTTCCAGGTCAAAGTGCATACCTGCTGTAGAGACAGCAAGAGTCTTACTGTAAGGCAGTTAAAGTCTATGTTTAATGTAAAGCATTAATCTTACAGAAGTTAAACTTACATATCTAAATCTAGCAAGCCTGCTTGCCTATAAAAGCATTTGCCTACATCACATCCAAACCACACAGCCTAAAAATAATAATAAAACAAAATTGGCTGTTAACTTTACTTTTGGAACTATTGCCATTACAAAATTTCTGAAAAATAGAAAACTGATGAAAAAAAATCCAAATGTAATTCACAGCATATATTTATGTAAAATTTAAAATGTTTACAACGACAACTATTGTGAAGAACATGCTAAAATCTTTCGAGTCTTTTGATTGTTTGTAATTTTGTGTCCTCATTGATGAATACTACCTATCTCCTTTTTGAATATTCAGATTAGAATTTAATGAATAACACATATATGTGAGTCTACTAAATCTGCCAATTTTATTTTTCTTAAAAATATCAAAATGTTTATTTCACTTTATTTCATTACAAAACTGAATATATTTCGTAATTGTAGGAATGTTATGATATATTCCATCATACTTCATTTTGAATTTAAACATAAAAAGAAAAGGAAAAAGCTAAAAGAGCATAAGGATCTCACATTGCAAAAATTGATACCGTAATTGACTCCAAAGATCAGATTGTACTTACAAGCATAAAATTATAACACAACCTCGATGAGCTTCCCTTCAAAAGTTTTCATAACAGCATATTTTTCAAACATTTTGGTAAAAATATGAATAAAAGGAGTCTATTTGTGTATTTCCATTGCAATGTATCATCAATGTCCATTATTCTAGTAATTCTCTGATATAAGTATAATTTTCAATAATAAATGGATACTTTAAACTGATCCATTGCAAATGAATTGTAGTTAGAATGCTTATTTGACAAATTAAATACCTCATCATCTTTGAGAGAAGCTATGGTAACCTTCTTTAAAACTTCAATTGGTTGATTAATATATAATACTGGTCGTCCACCAGTCATGTTTCCTAGGTAGTCTACTGTATACAGTTTGCCATAAGAATGGTTTGGACGAGGATCATTCACTATACACACCTGTCAACAGATAATGATGTTATTGTAAAAAAGATTTATATTTCTCTATTATTTCACCTTTTGCATACCTCATGTTGTATGGTTGAATTACAAAATAGATCTAACCAATTATCGTTTTTGCTAAGCATGATACTTTCACTTGTCTATTGATCTGTCTATTCAACCTTTAAAAGATTTAGCCTGAACTTTGTGGGTAACACTGACATCTAAACATCCTTCAGAGAGTTGTTGCAAGGGTTCTTTAATAGTGTTAAATAACCTCTTTAGAGTGTTGCACTAATTCTACACAAGACATCAAATTTAATGTCCCCAATTTGACTGGAAGTGACTGCAAGTTTACACATCACACACAGCCAAATTTACACTACACATAAGTAAGGGTTTTACTGCTGGAACAAGAGAAGTCCAGGGATGACCAAATTTCTAAACCCAATGGGGTCAACCCTTAAAGTTTGCTAGTAAGAAGATACATTTTTCTGAAAACAAGAATTTATCAAAGAAAGGCAGACCATGGAATACAAAATATCATATCATGCTACTCGCTTGAAATAGAAAATTATCGTCAAAAACTAAGGGTGCATGAGTCCTTGTCAATGTAGACATCAACGACGTCATAGGTAAAAATAAAGATAAACAGATTATCAAAGGTCTTTCAAACTCGAGGATGTTTCTCTGTCACATCTCATCTCAGGGCTGTCGCCCTTCGATGAGATTATAGCTGAGAAACACCCTCTTGTTTGAAAAACCATTGATAATCTGTAAGTCCTGAGGTTATCTTACAAAAATATAACAATATCTACAACATCTAAAAGAGAGGCAAAAGATACCGAAGGGATATTCAAACTCATAAGTCGAGAACAAACAGACAATGACATGGCAAAAAACGAAAAAATGACCAAAAGACCAACAACAGTACACAAAACACAACATAATAAAACAAAAGACTTAAGCAAAACAAACCCCATCAAAAACCGGGAGTCATCTTGGGTGCTCAAGAAGGGTAAGCAGACCCTGTTCCACATGTGGCACACATTCTAAATAAGGTATAGAGCAAATACATAAAAATAAATCATTTACCTTATCCTCCATATTATAGATTGGTTTGATGTATTGTCTGTAGAAATCTACTGGTTTGATTGGTCCAATTTTGACATAATTCTTCTCTAAGTCATAGAATTCCCAGGTGAAGGTCTCTAATGGTGTCCCTAAACATGTAGATGCTATTCTGTATATCTAAAAACATACAACTTTATATCATATCTTGTAGCAAAACAAAAATATTATTTCATTCTTGTTCTTATTGAATGTGAATGGATTACTATAAGCTGTTAGGCCAGAACTTCATACATAATATTTAAGATTAAACATGTTACTTAAAAAAAAAATACTAGCATCATGTATATATATATATACATGATGCTAGAATGTGAAACTCTACAAGCAGACTTAAGTCAGTGGTACAAAAATTCTTCCAGAAAAATAAAGTTTAAGCATGTATTTTCTTGTACCTTTCGTTGGTATTAGCTATCTTACCTGTTCAGTCATTCAGATATTTTTTTCTGTTTTAGCTCTCTCACCTATTCTACTGTTCTCTTTTGTCATATAAGCTCCATCTTACATGTTCCATCATTTTGTTTTTTTCTTTATCAGCTTTCTCTTACCTGTTCCATTATTCTTTTTTTATGTAAATTAGCTCTCTTAATTGTAACATCTATCTGTTTTTTCTTTGTGAGCACTTTCTTACCTGTTCAGCTCTCTTGTGTGTTACATTTTAATGATGTGTTTCTGTTGTGTCATAGTTCTCCTCTTATATTTGATGTGTTTCCCTCAGTTTTAGTTTGTAACCCAGATTTGTTTTTTTCTCAATCGATTTATGAATTTCGAACAGCGGTATACTACTGTTGCCTTTATTTACCTATTCAATCATTCTGTGTGTTTTTTTCTGTATCAGCTTACTCTTATCTGTTCAATCATTCTGTGTTTTTTCTGTATCAGCTTACTCTTATCTGTTCAATCATTCTGTGTGTTTTTTTCTGTATCAGCTTACTCTTGTCTGTTCAATCATTCTGTGTATTTTATGTACTAGCTCCCCCAACTGTTACATCATTCTGTTTTTCTTTATTTTTTATTTGTTCAGTCATTCTGTGGGTTTTTTTTCTGTATCAGCTGTCTCATACCAGTTCCATTATGCTTGGTTTATTTTCTGAATCAGCTCTATTCCTTACCTGTTCAGTCATTCTTTTTTTTATCATTTCTTTCTTACCTGTTCCATCATTCTGGTTTTTTCTGCTTGTACCTTTGCTTCTGATGCCCCATCTTTTACCATAGTTTGTAGACAGTTACAGAACTCTCTCATCTATAAATAATACAAAAACATACTTTGTTAGAATTATGCATTTCATAAAAAAAAAGAAAAGAAAAATAATATGTTCACACAGAGATAAGTCTTGCCTGTATTTTATTGGATAGTAAGCTGCAAATATTGAAATTAAAAAAAGCAATACTTTAACATGTAAATTATGCAAAATATCAAAGTCAATGAATCTTGATTGAAGGTGCCAAATAATTTCTGCGGAAATAAGATATGCCAATGCTAATACAACTGCATACAAAATATCATTGACTCATCATAAGTGGTTTCCTTTAAACTGACCTCATCATAAACTTCAAACATGTTAACAAGGCAAAAGTTTCAGTCAATAGACCATGACTGTGGGGGCAGGGTTAAACATTCTCCATGGAAATGAGATCTGCAAATGTTAATACAACTACATACCAAATATCTTCTATTTACCATTAGTGGTTAAACTTAGACCAACCTTATCACAAACTTTGACGGTGCCGGAAACAGCATACCTAAGTCTTGTTTTTGCCTCCGTCAAGGAGAGACAAAAACCCAACCTAAATATTTGCATAAATAAAATTCAGCAAAATAGCTTTTTTTAGTCTTCATAAAATATCATCTATTGTAAATAGAACAGAAATATGAATACAGATAGACTATTTAGTCATATGGTACATGTGAAACATTTGACCTGACTAGGCATAGCTTATTCAGATCTAATTAAGCATAAATAAACCAAGGCCCCTTCAACTTGGATATATATTTTCTCATGTCTCTATAATTTATAATCAAGTTATAAAATTTTTTGTAAGTACATTGCTTGCAGAATTTAGTTTGATTACAGCATTTGGAGGAAAAAACCAATAATGTTATTTCAGCAATTACTGAAAATTCACAATTTTTTTTGATATTTTTAATTATTGCGATAATAGTGATAGGTTTCGCAAAAATAAATACTTTATTTAAAATTTTGACAGCATTATTTGTATGTACCATTTCCTGAAATTGCAATAATTAATCTCTCATTTCTGTTCATTGTTCAAGAATAAGAAATGCATGCAAACATTTCTGAATCTACAGTATTCATTCTTAAAACAAATTGTATAAAATCAGAATTTAATCAAACACAACTTGCTTTATTATTGATGAGCCTGTTGAACTTTACAGAAGCTTCAGCACTCTGTGCATCAGGGCAGCAGGTTTTTGGTACAATACCATACTTCTCTATCAGATTTATCATCATGTCCCACTGGCCTCCATCTTCAGCAGGATTAAATAAAAGGTGGTGAACCAAACGACCATCAGCTGTCTCACCTTTACGAGCACATTGTACGTAACACTGCAGATTGTAGTTAGCTCTCTCAACCTTTCAATTAATAAAACTGGTATTTAGTTACTAACAAAATTTCAGAATTAAATAAAAAATGCAAAAAAGTCTTTCTTAATTTCAAATATTATCATGATTATGTCCGCAGAAAGAACAAAATAAAACAACAACAAATATTTACAATGATTTACTGATCAACATAAGTCCAAATATTTTCTGCCAAGTACCACTTTGTGTATTGTGGTGCATGTGCTTTAAAGTTTTATCACTATCTAATCTAAATGTCTGAAATGAAGTCACATATTACATGACACAAACTCAATGTATTTAACTTATGTATTATAATATCAAACTGAAAGTTCTACAATTACAATTTCAATTCTGAGACCAAATATAAGAATAACAACTTCACAGAAGACAGTTGTCTCTTTTTGATAACTGGAATCAATCCAAGCCACTTAATTTCAAACCTCTTGATAATTAATTTAGACAATTAAAATGTTCAGAATGCACACACAAATAAAAATGTAGGTTTTCATCTTCAAAATCTGGACAATTTCTTTCAATAACTTTGCATATATATCTTTAAATTTTTGGCCCAGTATTTTTGATGTTGTAGTTATTCAAAATGTATTTGCAATACAAGAAAATATAGTTTGTGAAATAAATCTACAAGTTTTACAGCATAGATTACCTTGTCCCAGAAGAAGAGGTAATTCTGACTAAACTCTAGATTCTCAACTTTAAACTGGCTCATACATTTGCTTCTTATAACATTCAAACAGGCAAAAATCCAACATCTTCCTGAGCTCTTCTGGTTAGTCATTGGTTTGCCCTCATTTGATACCTGAAAAAGAAATATATCATGTATCATTCACTCTAGAGAAGTCGTAAGTATCATACACAAAGCTCTCTTATTTATAACCCTATACTTATGCAATTCAAATGGAATTTCCAGTAGCATTCCAACAGAAATCAATTGGAATACCACAGTATTCACATTTAGCAAACAAAGGGCAACAACCTCGGCAAAAAATGGAGTAATTATAGTGACTTACATGCAGGTCTCGGCAGTATGATGGTTCACAGAAACATAAAAGAATATATAAACATGATATAAAATTTACCCAAGGTGTTATTAATGAATTAAATGAAAATGCATTTTTTATAAGAATATAAAACTCACACACTCTGCATATTAAAGCAATTCTTCATACCATGTTTCATATTGCAATATTTTGCAATATATTATTAATAATTTTGACAATAATGTTATCTAATAACATGAACATGATGAATAACAAGTTAGAGACACATGAAAGACATATCAATTAAAATTAGTTCCGGTACCTTATCATGCATGCTTATAGACAAATGAAACACATATATTGTACATAAGCGATGTTGTGCTTAGCATATGGTACCCCCATTCATAATTAAAAGTATTGGAAAACAAAAAGTAGGTTTCTGACAGGTCTTACAAGCGAACACATGTTACTTAATACAACTCATCACAGTTGAGCTGCTAACTCAATGATGTATATATTATTTGTATGTCGAGTTCTACCTTTGGCAAGTTTGATGACCATTGGTAGATCGATATTTAGAAATTTTTATACATACCTTACAGTTGTATACATGAGGGGTTGTATGTATAACATCTGGATTTTTACACACATCCCATAAATCTTGTTTAGAACATACATTTCTGGCAAGTCTATTTTTCGGATCAGACAGAAATGACTGCTTGTACTGCTTTACAGTCTTATTTTGAATACCTGAAGATAAGCAAATTACATTTCAATAATAAAATAAATATAGAACTTTTCATCATTCATTATTCATAAAAGAATGTTAGCAATAATATTGTTATTAACCAAACTAATTACAGTACACATAATAAAAGATGTTTTTGGCAATAATGACCAGTCCTGGTAAGTGAAGTATTGCATGGTTGTACATGTTGTACATGTTGTATAGCCAATCTATAGTGTAACCACTCTGAATCACCAGTTATCATCCTGTTTCATCGTAATACACTTACACCAGTACATGTGTGTATGTGAAAGTTGGTTGGTTTAGCTTAACTAATTATAACCTATCATCATGATCATTAATTTTAATTCAGAATATATTATATATAATTATAATCATTAATATTATATTATATAATATTTTTGCCCATTATTCTCTTCTGTTAAATATTTGCTACTGGCATGACTGGACATTAAGCAACTAACAATCAATCAATCTATTTAGCTAACCCCATCCACATCCAGATATAAAACTGTATTTCTCAAAACCTGAAATTGTTTAAGCACTGGTACCCTTGACTATCTTGGGGAAAATATTTGTACTGGTCTGTATTGATATCCAATGCCCAGTGGCAATTATTTTATGTTTGTTCAGGACAATCCTTTGGCTTTGAATCAAAGACAGCTATATAATAAAATGCTCCGCTGGGGCGCAGCTTGATACGACCGCAGAGGTCGAACCCTGAACAGTTGGGGCAAGTATGGACACAACATTCAAGCTTGATACAGCACTGAATTTGGATTGTAATTAAATATTTGACACAGCATAGGTTTCTGACACAGAATGAAAGTGGTCTAAGAACTTAAAAATTTTCAATTTACCTATTCATACATGTGATGGACTGTGAAACTCAGATCAGGAGACTGGGAAATTTTGGTCAGGAGATTAGGACTCAGATCAGGAGGTTTTTAATCGACATTAATTTTGTTGTAAATGTAACCGTGTGCTGTAAAAATGGTCTTTTAAAGTGTGTTTTCTTCAACTTTCCAACCAATTTATTATGTTTATAGTACCCTTGTACTTATAAAGTTTCTCCATCTTTATATTCTACATGTTCAATCTAACATTGTTTTTTTCCAGTATGTTCTTTAAATTTTTTACTTCATATTCTATAAAACAATCATTGCATCCAGAACATTTGTTTAGCTGTCTGCAAATAGTTTTTATTATTTTTTTTTTTTTCTCTTGCAAATAGTTTTTATTTGCAAACTCAGAAATTCATTCTATCTGTAAAGTTAGGGTCATAGTTATTATATAAATTTCAATTTAAGCCTTAAAAGGAAGTATAGAATCCTCAAATAATTTTCAAATTATTATTTTTTTATTTGTCCTAAGACATTTAAAATCATTTAATAACCATCCTTTTATGATTATTTGTTCAATTTATATTTTATTTATATTCTTTTAAAAATTTTCATTTTTAAAAGGAAAGTAACTTAAAACAGGATAAATCAAGGGAAGTAACCCAATAAATACACAGTTTTTGTTACACAACGGCAGTTAGCCTGAGGTAAAAATCGTTGCTTACCAGTATGTTTGACACCCAAGCTGACAAGTGAAGCCATATAATTATGCATGTTAATTGATTTACAGGTAAAATATAACTTCAGGTAATGTCAGTTACACCAGATGCCTGAGATGTTATGTTGGGCAGAAATTTTTCATTCATGAAAAATTTCATACACGGGATTTTTTCAACGGGAGGGGGGGGGGAGGAGACCCCTGAAAACGGGATTATTGTACTCCCGTCGGGAGGTTCACATGTATGCCTATTCAAACCATATCATTATTATTTGCTTTTATATATAAATCAGAAATAACCAATTTAAAATGGAAAATGTTAAAGAAAAAAAAGGAAACCCCCCCCCCCCCCCAATTTTTTGAACCCCCTTATGATTCATCGCCCCCAAACTCAATCCCAGCTTTCCCTTTGTGGTATGGTACCTTGCAGTACAATTTCAGAGAGATTCATACACTTGAACACAAGTTATTGTCTGGAAACTAGAAAAATGCTTGTTTTTTGGCCCCTTTTTGGCCCCAAATTCCTAAACGTTTAGGGCAATTACCCCCAAACTCAATTCCAGCTTTCCCTTTGTGATATGGAACCTTGCAGTACAATTTCATAAAGATCCATACACTTACACACAAGTTATTGTCCTGAAACTAGAAAAATGCATGTTTTTTTTGCCCTTTTATGGCCCCTAATTACTAAAATTTTGAGGGAAAACCCCCAAAATCAATCCCAGCCTTCCCTTTGTGATATGGAACCTTGTAGTACAATTTCATAAAGATCCATACACTTACAAACAAGTTATTGTCATGAAACTAGAAAAATGCTTGTTTTTTGCCCCTTTTTGGCCCCTAATTCCTAATATTTGGAGGAAATTACCCCAAAAATCAATCCCAGTATTCCCTTTGTGATATGGAACCTTGTAGTACAATTTCATAAAGATCCATACACTTACAAACAAGTTATTGTCATGAAACTAGAAAAATGCTTGTTTTTTGCCCCTTTTTGGCCCCTAATTCCTAAAATTTGGAGACAATTACCCCCAAAATCAATCCCAGCATTCCCTTTGTGATATGGAACCTTGTGGTACAATGTCAGAGAGATCCATACACTTACACACAAGTTATGTCTGGAAGTTACAAAAATGCTTATTTTTGGCCCCTTTTGGCCCCTAATTCCTTAACTGTTAGTACCATAACCCCCAAAATCAATCCCCACCTTCCTTTTGTGGTATTGAACCTTATGGTAAAATTTCAATGAGATCCATTCACTTAAACTAAAGTTAGAGTGCGAAAACTAATGTGTATTCGGACGACGACGCCGGACGACGACGACGACGACGACGACGACGCCAACGTCATACCAATATACGACCACAAAAATTTTTTTGCGGTCGTATAAAAAGGGAGGAAATAGTACATTTTATAGTAGTTAAAAAAGATACTACATAGAATTTATAATGCATGTACAATGTACATGTATGTAATAACTTACTCAAGTTACTGCCAGTTTTGACAAGAATACTTTAAACATTGTTAAAAGAGGCTTTTAAACATGTTTAATATGTTGAATTTACATATTTTTCATCTATTTTTGATGAAGGTTATTAACTTTCCACATGTAATCAATGTCAAACAACAGATATGCTGACTCATCAAACAAAATTAATACAAAATGAATGTTTTCTACCCAATAACTTTGTGAATCAGTGATAAAGTTGAATTAATCCTGTTAATGACTTGTTTTTAATCAGTAAGACCAATCAGGTATCATTTATTCATACCATTTATACTAATATAAAGACTAATATATTATATTTAATTATGTTAACTTAATTAGTATAATACAAAATACAAATATTTATTAGCACAAACTCATCAACAATAAATGGTTAAGGCTCATGGTATATTAATTACATAGTTGATCATACATAATAAGTATTGCAAATAATGACTATATTAATATGTAATATTATAAACAATGAATATGAATTAGACATAATGACAATTTTATAGAGTTTGTTCTGCTTTACGCAGGTTCAGACTGTCTGAAATGAAAGAGGAAGTCAATTTTAGGATTGTGTATGAATTATTATTTAATAAAAAGATTACATTATTTTCATTTTTTTTAAATTTTGTAGGATCAACGATTATGTTTGAAACTTTTTGGTAAAATATGGCCCTTTTAGTTGAGTATTTTTCACAATGTAAAAGAAAATGTTTTTCATTTTCAATTTGACCAGAATTACATACAGAGCAGTATCTTTCATTTCTGGGAATATTTAGATGTCTCCCTCTTTCAATCATCAGTATATGAGCGCTTATACGGATCTTACATATTGCAGCTCTGTCACTTCTGTTTTTCAATATATCAACATAGGGTGGTCTTCTGCCCATTATGTATACACTCTTGAAAAAGTCTAACTTTTTTGATTCAAATATATTTGCATTTTGAACTTGCAAACATTGGTCATTAATTCTTTGTTTAATGGAATTTAAATTACCTTTAACATAATTAAAGTTATTGATGATATAAGACATTCCAAGTCCATTCAAAAGACTCTTGACCTTTATGACCCAAGGGTTTGAATCTACAGATTTAGTGAATATATCATATGCCAAAGAATTTTCCGAAGAAACTATATGGTTCAGGTAGTTGAATATTGAATATAATATTTTATTTTTCAAGGGAATTCTATTAAGTTCGGCTCGACATCCATCATTAGATGCCTTACAGTGAACCCCTAATATATCTTTGATAAATTTAACATGAAGTTTTTCGAAGGGATCAGAGTCTTTAAAATGTGAATCCACCCCCCAAATTTCACTACAATATGTAAGAATGGGAGTAACTAAACAATCAAACAATTTTTCAAGAAGTCTACATGGGTTGTTGAGACCTATAGTTTTCTTTATTTTATAGTATGCCTTCCTGGCTTTTTCCATTAGAGTATTCACAGCAAGGCAAAAATTGCCATTATACTTTAAAACAATACCCAAGAAACAATAATTTGTAACCGTTTCAAGATATGCATTATCATAGGTAAAATGTTTTAACAATGTCTTGCCATTAGAATTAAATATCATAATTTTTGATTTATCAGTATTAACTTGTAGTTTCCATGATGAACAATATTCATGTAAAATATCAAGAGATTTTTGTAGACCCTCTTTGCTTTCAGATAGTAAAACAATATCGTCTGCATATAAAAGAATGTTCAAAGAGGTATCCCCAATGGCAACTGGATCCGTATGTTTGTTATCAAGATTACCTACTAGTTCATTTATAAAAAAGTTAAAAAGAAGGGGACTCAATACGTCACCTTGTTTAACACCCCTTTCTGATAGGAATGGAGGACTCAGCCCATTAGAGAATTTTATTCTACATACTGTATCAGTATACATTGAATAAATAACATTAAACATTTTTTGGGGGATATTATGTTTTATGAGTTTAGAAAATAAACCTAGTCGCCATACGGTATCAAATGCCTTTTTTAAGTCTATGAAGGCAGCAAAAACTTTTTTCTTTTTTTGTCTATATTGATCAGTTATGGTCTTAAGAGTGAATATGTGGTCAGCTGTACGACTTTTCTCTTTAAAACCAATTTGATTTTTACTTATTAAATTTTTGATATCCATAAATTTTACTAAACGTTTATATAAAACCTTATTGAAAAGTTTACCCAGGTTGGAACTAATAGATATACCTCTATAGTTCCCTGGATCAAATTTGTCCCCTTTCTTATGCAAGAGAACAAGTAAGCTTTCATTCCATATTCTCGGAAATTGACCAGATTCGAATATGCTATTAAAGAGTTTATGAACATGATGAAGTGGTTTTATTAAAGTAGGGATTGCATTTTTCAACATTTCATTTGAAATCATGTCAGCTGATGTGCTTTTGCCATTTTTAATTAAACGAATAGCTGTTACTATCTCTTCAATTGTTATCTCTGAACTCAAGTGAGTCAAGTCATCTGTAACATGTGATAAATTAAACTTTTCTTTTAGAGAGTCAAAATCTTTAATAATTTTAGAATGAGAACTATTGTGGTTTATGTCACAGCTATTTAATTTTTTATAAAACTGGATGAAATCTTCTTGTGGTAAAGATTCGTTTTGTTGGTTATTACTTTTTTGTCTATTTAATTTATTCAAAATGTTCCAAAACATCTTTGGGTCTTTCTCACATGTATAAAGTTCTGAAAATATATCTTTTTTGTATTTATTTTCTTCATATTTACATAGACCTCTAAGTCTAGATCTGAAAGAATAAAATTTATGTCTGTATTCAGAATTATAGGGATGTTTATTAACTAACTTTTCATAATTTTTTACTGTAACACCAAGTTCACGGCAAGATTCAGAAAACCAAGGTCGTCTTTTTGACCTACTTTGATTTTTATTTCTGACTGGGACTTTCTTAATTAGTATACTACTGGTATGCTTGCCTTTAATTTTGATTGTCTACTTATAAGTCAGATCATTAATCTACTGGACAAAGGAAATTTTGTCAAGAAAGGAAGACTTGAATGTACTACATTATGCACCCTACAAGCTACTAAACTGTGGCTCTTATGTCCTTTTTGATATTTTTTGACAATTTGCTGATCATGCTGATGGTCCGCTAATTGTAAAAAGGTATCTAATGAATCAGCATGATCAGCAAATTGTTAAAAAATATCAAAAGGACCTAAGAGTTACAGTTCTGCAGCCAGCACACGCATGACCCTACATGCCCTAGTCACAGATAATCATAATGTCTACTAAGAGCTGCAGGCTGTCTAGTCCAAATAATTATGTCGTCTAGAATTTAGAAAGGCTATTTTGATTTTGCTGTTATGCTGTTAGATTTGCCAAAAAATTTAAAAGATCAAAAGAAAAAGCTGCAAAATATTTAAAGCATGAAAATGTGTGCCTCTCACTGAAATCACTGTAAGGGTATTTTTAAATTTTTTATGCTATAGGCAGTATAGGTCCCTCATAGATGTATTCACACTTTTGACGTTTTGTGTATTTTGGCATTTTTGCTGAATTTGCTTTTTAAAACAGTAAATTTGTGTTCGAAAACTATATTTTATAGAAACGAAATCGTCGACTCATTGTTTATTTTAGATGAATTATTTTAAATTAAAGTATATTACCTGGCACGCTACTCATTTTGCACTTTTTGCAATAGGTCCTGTCACTTAGAAGACGCTTTTGTCACTTTGGTACTTGGACAGACTGTAATTTTCGGTCACCCAAACACCACAAAGCAAAATGGGCATAAAACAAAATATCTTACTAACCATTAAAAGATTTTTCAATGTATGAAAAAAGATAACAAGATTTTAAATGTTTGAAATAATTTTTCTAAAAGAGTGGGTTCACAATCCTATAACTTTTATAAAGCGGCACGTTTCTTGTCATGTCTGGTTTTTTTATGGTAATCAGCAGCACCTCTATTTTCATTTTGAGATTGCTTGTGGACAATTTTTCAGTTTGCTATTTAACAGCTTAGGCTTTGATACCGTTGACTTAAGAAAGACAGCTTTGAGAAAACAATGGACCCACATGTAAGAATCAAATGATCAATGCTTTACTTCACAGTTTTCATAAAGAGTAAATACTAAAGGCTTACTAAAGCTAAACAGCTGAAAGTGAAACATGTGCTGATGTGGTTTTCAATTTCTATCTCCACAGGCACAGGATCTTTAGACTGTTAGAGCCTGTTGGAACCACTACTTTTCTAAATATTTTTTTTTATTTCAATTTGTTGAATTCTTTTTCTGATTTTAATTAGGTAGAATTTAATAGACATTACTAGTAGTAGTACAGGTAAAGTACATGATACTGTAAATTCTGAAATTATTGTGAGGTTTTTATTAATGCCAGTAATGTGACTAGATGATTGGATGAGTATCGCAATAATAAGAACTCCCATTCTGATAGCTGAAACAGATCTATATGCAGATTTTTTTGAAATCGCAATAATTAAACTCACATTTTTGTCCATTCACAGTCGCCTGAAGATTTCATAATTATAGCGAAAAAATGGGGGAAATAAAATATTTTTAGTAGTATTATATAGTATTATAGTAGTAAGTTAACATGGTTAAAGGGGTATTTAAGCACAGATATATACATGTCATGATATACTTAAATAGGTTATAACAGCCTATTATTTAAAGTCAGAATTAATAAAATTTAATTAAAAAATCGTGTATATATCTGTGCTTAAATACCCCTTTAACTTACTTGTGGGTCCATTGTTTTTTGAAATATTTTTTTTTTGAAATTTCCCATTTTACATTGCATGCATTGGTTTAATCATGTTTTTTTTTATATTAAAATTAAAGTTATTAATATTGAAATTAAGGGTAGCAATCTTACAGCACCAGTTAACTTAAATTTATGTTGATTTTTTTCTTCAAAATTCATCTTTTAGTAAGTTTCAATTGTTAATCCTTTCAAGCTGATAAATGTGCTTCAGGACATTTTAAACTCATTTATAGAAAATAATTGAAATTATTTGTTTTGAAATGTAAATAGACCTTTACTAAGAACTTGATTTACGTCTTTTCTTCACAAGCACAGGTATATATCATGTATATATGTATCATCAAGGCAGAGGGTGATTCATGCATGTTTCAGAATTTCTTTATTCTTTTATAATCTTCATTCAGGCTGCAGAATTTGCCAGACCACAAGCAGTCGTCTTAATTGAGATGGTTAAGAAGACTACATCTGATAAAAATCCTTCAATCTCATTGTTACAGATCACTAATAATAATATAATATAATTCTTATGTCATGTATGTCAATAAGATATATACATGTTATTGATAAATATTTCTGCCCAAGGGTACTTGATCTGGACACTGATAACAATAGGTTATCTTAAACATTGTTATAAGGAACCTGTTTATAGTAAATTAAAGTAATCTTGTAGTTCCTTTCAATATATTAATATATATTAGCAGTAAAATGTCATAGCAGAATTGTCAGTCATTCACCGATTTTTTCATCTTTGACTTGTTTAGTTGACTTTTTAAAGTGCTTACTTATTTTTTAACAAGAGGATCATGGCCATGGTTGTAAGTGGAGTTTTAAATTATTTTTACACAATTCTTATTGGAAAATTTTGCTTGAATGCATTTCACAATTATTGATTATAAAATAGTTTCAAGCTACAGCATAAGCATGGTAAGTTGCAATTAAATACCATGATTTTCTAGTAAAATAAAAACCAGTTTATATTATATAACACAATTTAATACATTAGTTACACATGTTAAAGAGAAATGAGGTGATTTACCAGTAAAATATAAACCAATAATGTCACATGAAATAAATCTGATAATTTCACTCTGACAATGTATTAATCAAGTAAATGTTCAAGAAATTTTACAATCAAATCATTGATTAAGTAACCAGGTGTACTCAAAATTTTAACAAAAAAAAGATTGTAATTTGAGCCTTTATTATATATAGGTCTCGAACAACTAACGAATAACTGTCAGAGTGTGTATTATCACATATTTTGTTTATGATATCTTTCTTTAAAAATATGTCTAAAAAATTAGAAAATTAATGTAAAATTTGACAATTTTGCTACAAGCATGACAAGTGGTAAATTTTATTGTTGAGTCAACAACATTTGTGTTGCGAAAGCTAGACATAGCGATCCTATATTTTGTAAAATGTTTGAGATTTGTTTACAAATTTTTACGTGTTGCTCAAGAAGTTTACCAGCAGTGCTCAGCTGGAACTTGGAACTCAGGTACATTCAGCTGAGTGAAGCTGTTTTTATACGACCGCAAACAAATTTTTGTGGTCGTATATTGGTATGACGTTGGCGTCGTTGTCGTCGTCGTCGTCGTCCGGCGTCGTCCGAAGACACATTGGTTTTCGCACTCTAACTTTAGTTTAAGTGAATGGATCTCTATGAAATTTTACCACAAGGTTCAATACCACAAAAGGAAGGTTGGGATTGATTTTGGGGGTTATGGTACCAACAGTAAAGGAATTAGGGGCCAAAAAGGGGCCAAAAATAAGCATTTTTGTAACTTCCAGACATAACTTGTGTGTTAGTGTATGGATCTCTCTGACATTGTACCACAAGGTTCCATATCACAAAAGGAATGCTGGGATTGATTTTGGGGGTAATTGCCTCAAAATTTTAGGAATTAGGGGCCAAAAAAGGGGCAAAAAACAAGCATTTTTCTACTTCATGACAATAACTTGTGTGTAAGTGTATGGATCTTTCTGAAATTGTACTACAAGGTTCCATATCACAAAGGGAAAGCTGGAATTGAGTTTGGGGGTAATTGCCGAAACGTTTAGGAATTGGGGGGCCAAAAAGGGGCCAAAAATAAGCATTTTTCTAGTTTCCAGACAATAACTTGTGTTCAAGTGTATGGATCTCTCTGAAATTGTACTGCAAGGTACCATACCACAAAGGGAAGGCTGGGATTGATGATGGGGGTAATTGCCTCAATATTTTAGGAATTAGGGGCCAAAAAAGGGGCAAAAAACAAGCATTTTTCTAGTTTCAGGACAATAACTTGTGTGTAAGTGTATGGATCTTTCTGAAATTGTACTACAAGGTTCCATATCACAAAGGGAAAGCTGGGTTTGAGTTTGGGGGTAATTGCCCTAAACGTTTAGGAATTTGGGGCCAAAAAGGGGCCAAAAAACACATTTTTCTAGTTTCCAGACAATAACTTGTGTTCAAGTGTATGGATCTCTCTGAAATTGTACTGCAAGGTACCATACCACAAAGGGAAGGTGAGGATTAAGTTTGGGGGTGATGAATCATAAGGGGGTTCAAAAAATTTGGGGGGGGGATTTTTTTTTTTTCCTTTTTTTTTTCTTTTAAAATTTTCCATTTTAAGTTGGTTATTTCTGATTTATATTTAAAAGCAAACAATAATGATATGTTAGGAAATACACACCAAACAGGATGTGTAAATTATTATATAATAAGTATTGTGCAATAGCAAGAAATTTTCAATTGCACAGTATTGCACAATAGCAAGAAATCTTCAATTGCACAGTATTGCGCAATAGCAAGAAATCTTCAATTGCACAGTATTGCGCAATAGCAAGAAATATCCAATATCACAATATTGCGCAATAGCAAGAAATTGTCAATTGTACAGTATTGCGCAATAGCAAGAAATATTTAATTGCACAGTATTGTGCAAAAGAAGATACTTCGTATAAATTGCTTATTTCTTGACCAATTTCAATGGGGTTTTATTCTTGAATTCTTGGGGTTCTTTAATATGCTGAATCTAACTGTGTATTTAGTTTTTGGATTTTGGGCCCCGTTTTTAAATTGGTCCACATTGAGGTCCAAAGGGTCCAAAATTAAACTTTGTTTGAATTCATCAAAAATTGAATTATTTGGGTTCTTTGATATGCAGAATCTAACCGTGTATTTAGATTCTTAATTTTTGGTTCCGTTTTCAAATTGGTCTACATTAAGGTCCAAAGGGTCCAAAATAAAACTTAGTTTGATTTTGACAAAAATTGAATTCTTAGGGTTCTTTGATATGCTGAATCTAAACATGTATTTAGATTTTTGATTATGGGCCCAGTTTTCAAGTTGGTCCAAATCGGGGTCCAAAATTAAACTTTGTTTGATTTCAACAAAAATTGAATATATGGCGTTCTTTGATATGCTGAATCTAACCATGTATTTAGATTTTTGATTTTTGGGCCCCGTTATCAACTTTGTCCACATTGAGGTCAAAAGGGTCCAAAATTAAACTTTGTTTGATTTCATCAAAAATTGAATTCTTGCATGGGGTTCTTTGATATGCTGAATCTAACCATGTATTTAGATTTTGGATATTAGACCATAATAGGTGAATGTCCAATTTAAAATTTTTAAGTTCTTAGACCACATTCATTCTGTGTCAGAAACCTATGCAGTGTTCTCCCCAGGATTTTTGGATAGCACCAGGGTAACGCGTGTCAAAATGATTTGTACAATATGTTGTGTTGCGTTGCATCGCTTTTTTTTTTTCTTGTTAGTTTTTGTGTCATTACCTTTTTGTCTTTGTTTTGTTTACTGTGTTATGTAGACTTTGGGTCAAAAAATTACAGGTAAAAAAAGAAGTAAATCAATAAACAGTTTGTATACTTTAATTTCTTTTAAGAATAAATAAAAGAAAGCACTATTAGTCTTTAAACTAAAGTCACTTTTTTATATTTTGATCAAGCCAATTTTGTCCTGATACTTGTAGTTACACTACACATTCCCCATTTTTGTTAGATTACACCATAACAATTAAATTTAAACAAGATTAAATTTTAATGCAGAACCTTTAGTAAATTAAAAACTATTTTCCATAGCTTTAGACATGATTCTTTTAAACAACAATACAATTATTATTATAATCATTCTTGTATTACTTGGTAGACAAACAGAGTAAATTAATATCATCTATCTGTACACCCATGTATCTTATCTAGCTGAGTTCCAATCTGTCTCTAAAGACTGGGACTACTTTAACTCAAATCAGTTACCACATGGAAAAATACTACCTATTTATTATAATATGTCTGTGCATTAATGAAAGTATGATTATCAAAAATAATTTGCAATATATTTTTGTTGGTATGTTCAAAGAAAGTTTTTATCCTTAAGGTAACATTCTTATATAATTTTGCATTCAATTTGTACTTTATTTTTATTTTCAATGATAGATAATATTTTAGGAGCACTTATTTGTAATAAGCTAAATCAGGGGAGGTAACTCCAACACGTTTAAAATACGCAAATTATTTATGACCAAAGGCTGGAGTAATAGAGTTAATTAACAAATGTCTGCTTGTCCCTCACAAGTCTGATCATTAATTATGATCTCTTAATTAATTAAAACACAAAAGAATCATGTACATCGATTAAATCCAATCACCAAGGTTAACCTCAAAAGGTAAATCGATCACGTGGTGTAAACAATCTAGTTGTCAGAACTGGATTAAACTGGTTTAAACTGGTCAATTTTCATCTGAAATTTAATACCCACAGAAAAGGTTTAACAAGTCGTTTAAAACTTTACCGATTTACGATTTGTTTCCCGATAATTTTAGCACCACGGAGAAAAATTATACATCGCGGCAAGAACGATACCACCACGGTAGAAAATTATACATCGCGGGCCCGCAGTCCTTTAAGGGCCTGGGGAGAACACTGCTATGCTGTGTCAAATATTTAATCACAATCCAAATGCAAAGCTTTATCAAGCTTGAATGTTGTGTCCATACTTGCCCCAACTGTTCAGGGTTCGACCTCTGCGGTCGTATCAAGCTGCGCCCAGCGGAGCATTTTATTAACAAATAGCATACCATACCATGATTTTGATACCTAACAAAGGCTCAAAGTTTATGGTCAAAGTTAAACTTAACTGACCAGTTGGAATAAAAGTTTATTAGATTATTGAAATGAAATGTATCTGGTGAATCAATTCACCATTTTAGAATGCATTGCATTCTGGGTATTGTTTTCAAAAGCATTCACTATTATATGTAACATCTTTGTGTTTGGTTTGCAATGGAGATTCAACCAATGGCATAATAGTTTTTTGACTTGAGTGTACAGATAAAAAAAAAGTCATATGTTATTGTATGAACAATACAACTACCCAAAATACCTTTAATCCTAAAACAGCAATTGATTGTTTTGATACCACTTAACATGCTTAAAGTCTATTTTAAAAGTTGCCTGGTTCATTTGTAGTCAGCCAGGATGTAATTAAATTTCAAACTGCTTAGTTATAAAGGACGGAATCTTGTTATTAAATTGAAATTTAAGATTCAGGTACATTTAATTAGGTTCTGGCATAGTGTAAAAAAAGATAGATTTATTTATTAATATTTTGATAGTTATTTTTACATTGATTTTCAGATGAGTGACGAAGCAACAGTTTGCCTGAAGGAAAAGGATATTCAGAAGTTAAGAGAGTCAGAAGGGGGTGTGGAATTTGAAGTGGATGAATACCAAAATGGTAACTTACAAATATATAATATATAGTTCTTAATAAATATCTTACACAATTCTAAATATAAATGAAGAGCTTATTTTATGCTTTGATAAAAAAGGATACAGCTTACAATTCCTGTTAATTAGATACATAATACAAGCAATAATAAAAAAAATGTAAATTTCAAAACTGCAGTTTGTCTATTTGGTTCCAGCATACTTACTTTTTTATACTTTAAACTCACAACAGTACATCATGTACATAAAGTTGAATATTTCACAGAGCAACTCACTAAAAATTCTGGAAACACTGAATATAAAATGAGTTGATTAACTAAAAAATGTGTATCGAAAACCTCAAAAATACTGTCTGTTCTCATTTGCCTTACACTACATTGATGATTGCATTGAACTAATGCAGAACATTACTGAAAGGACAATACAAATCTTGCTGCAAATCAAATTGTATTTTTAAGTCAGATTTATGAATTTTGAAATCAGAATTATGAATTTGAAATCAGATTTTGGAGGAGTCACTTAATGTACACGAAGTGTTATATCACATACTGTGAATCTGATATTTTTGTAGTATAAAGTATGTACTGATTATCAGGTCTGCATATCATGCATATTGATATCGTAAAATATCAGCTTCTAGACACAGTATGAAGCTTTTTGTCAACTTAGCGTAGCAAAATAGTTCAAAAAGCTTCATATTGTGTCTAACAGCTGATATTTTACAATGTAAATATACAGAAAAATGGACAATCAATTTATCCGGTTGTATTTGCCCATTTTGCATGATAGAAACTAGTGTTTTCATTAAAACATAGGAAAAAATTCTCATTACATTTTAAAACCTCATTAGTAAAAACCATTACCAATAAATTTGACCTTCAAAAGTATGCATTGGCATTTTCATAACAGCTGAAGAGGAAGAAGAAGAAGCATTCCCACCAGAGGACATTCTGAACAATATCTATATACCTGATGAGGAAGACAGTGATGACGATGATGAGTTATCTCCCTTTCAAAAGTTGGCAAAGAAAATGGAGGATATATCCCCATCTGGTGATGGTGGAGTGAAAAAGAGGGTTTTACACCCAGGAGGAGGAAGTATTGTCCCTGAAGAAGCAATTGTTAGGGGTAAGAAATATTCAGCAGTTTATTTTGGACATTTTTTAATTACAGTAGTTTGAAAATAAGGGGATGAGGTATGATAAGGAATCTTATTTCTATTAATGGGATGTAATTACTGTCGTTTATTTTGACATAAGCAAACAAAATTTTGCAGTGTTCATATTTTGTTAATTTCTAGGACATGCTCACAAGATTTTATATTTGCCTTTTTTTCTGGTCTGATCTTAAAATCCTTAAAGATTATAAAATATTAAGTTTTGTGAATTCATCTTTATCAGTCAGGGGACTTATTGAAATAAGTGATTTTTAAATCACTTATTTAAGTAGCAAATTTGAAGTTTTGTCACAAATTGTGATTTTATAGTTTTACCAAAATTTTAAACACATAGGTTTAGATAATATCTTTTCATTAGTAAAATTGAAAAAAATGAACTTTTTGCTTCTTTTTAGCAGCAAGGTTTATGCCTTTGATGCAGTCATTTAGCTGCAAATTCTATTTTAGTTGAAAAAATGCTATAAAAATGGCTTTACATAATGAACTGATACTTTCTTAACAGATTTTTCCCAGCAGTGGGAGTATTTTTCCTGTAAAGTTCAAGGTTTCATCTTATAGATTATGTAATAAAATTCTACTGTTCGCGATCAAAATTTCACTGTTCGGGGGTGTTGAAATTAGTGGGGGTTATTAAAATAATGATACTTAAAGAAGTGATTTTTTGGAAGGAAATTGAGGTATGATACTTAAACAAGTGATTTTTATGTCATTATCCTAGATTTAGTACAAGGTCATCACCTGACATAACCCGGTCATCCTATCAACACAGATGTTTGTTCTGATAATTTTAGCAACATAATTAGTCCCTGGATCATTAGTATTCTATATTTAAAGCTACAATAAAATTAAATCACTTAGTCTAGCGATTAATTTGTACTACTTAAATAGGTGATTATTAAAGAAAGACAACTCTTACTTCCAACCTTTAGGAACATAATGTTACTTGAATCAGTGATTTAGAAAATCACTCATTTAAGTAAGTCCCCTGACTGTTTATTGCAGAACAATAAGAATAAACTTGTGGTTTCATTTACATAATTGACAGTACTGAAAAATGAAAAAAAAAGATAAATTTGTTTTATTCTTTAAGGTGGGTCTCATTGGGGTCTAAGCGTGATGCAGGATTGCCGATTTTTTGTAAGCGTGACACGTGAAAGTCAAATTATTGTGTCGTGAAAATGGGAAATGAAGTCTAGCGGGACACGGGAAATTACAAAAAAATGAGAATTGCTTACTTACATAGTGTAAGCGGGATACGTGAATCTGACAAAACAGTAAGCGGGATCTGGGATCAGAACCCCCCAATGAGACCCCCTTTAAGAAATGAATGTGAAATGCATTTAACTGTTTTATATCCCTGCCACCCATTTAACGTAAAGTGATATATGCTAGGTCTTACTCCATCCATCCATCCCAAAATATATTTGTTATGTAAATTCATAATCATTATGCTAAATCATATATGTTTTATCAATTTGACTTACAATAAGCAGATGTATTGCCCCCTCCCATCATTTCAGTGGTGGGCTGGGCATTTGTATCTTATCAACAACTTTATTTAATATAAAATAAAACATTCTACTGTGGATTCATTAATATTTGTTGGATACACATTTTCGTGGATTTCGTGGGTACAGGGGAACCACGAATTCAAATGTTCAATAAATTACAAATTTTCTAAAAGGAATGTATGCAGACTTTGCTTAACCACGAAATTAAATATCCACGAAAAGGCAAGTTTTCCTTAATCCACGAAAATTGGTACCCACGAAAATAAATGAATCCATTTGTAACCAATAAATTTTATTCCAGTTCATTATAATGCATTCCTGGAGTATGCTGATGAACCATATGATTCAACTAGATTGAGAAATGCACCAGAAAGATATAAACTTGGGCAAAGTAAGAAATTTGATTACGCCTTTACATGTACCATGATTTTTGCTGTGTTAAAATTTTAATTGATTTAAAAATTGCAGGACTTTTTTTTCTATTCTGATGCTTAACAGAAAGAATTAATATATGCAATAGAGCTTAAAAATATGTAATCTTAGAATAAAATGAATTTTAGAGAAACTCCATGATCTTAACACATAACGTCATGTCAAAACATGAGGCAATACAAATAAAAAACTTCAAGCAGAAGGTTACTCCATTATTTGTAAGCTCATAATTCAGATAACTACATATGAAAATTGAATATCAACTGTGGATTTAAAGGTAAATTTTAGCCAACAGCAAATAAAAAAAAATGAAAAATTGTTTAAGAATTATAAGGATTAAACATATATTTTCCAGAGGTCATTTAAGAAATATTTTATGTAAGTCATGATAGAATTATTGGAAATTTTAATCTTTATCTTACAGGGGATACAAGAGAACAGCCAAGCACACGATACACTAATATTCGCTTCAGTTTGTGAAAATTATCATATTTGTGCTATTACAATATAAAATAATACAATATACAACATGTATCTCTGACTAATTGATTTTTAACAATACATGCAATAAGACTATTTTAGGTTACATTGTATTTGCTTAATCTCTCTCTCCGACTTTCTCACATACAACACTAATACTCTTCACTTATCTGTTTTGCTACAACATGTTCCATGATTTTAACGACAAACATAAATTTGCTCATAGTATATAACTTATTTCTTTTCTCTTTTATTAAAACTAAAACATAGATAATATGAAACATTATTTAGTTAAATATTACATGTAACAGAGACCAACATTTTTCACAAACTTGGACTTAACCACTTTTCTTAGCAATATGATATTCAAGAAATTGGTATTTCTTTATTTCTATTCGCTCAACAATATTTGGTTTTGTTTCATTTAATTTACATTTATATATAGTTCTTTGTAATTTTGACTAACAGATTCAATAATAAACTTTCATGTTTGCAACCAAAACAAAGTAATTGGTCATTAAAAAAAAAAAGGTGTTCAATGGTTTCTTCTCCAAGTTCACAAAAAGTACATAACTTGGTATCTTTTAATTTAATTTTGTACAAAAAGGTATTAGTTGCTATAATACTATGCAAAAAAATCATATTGAAATGTTTTTAAAGCAGAAATACACAGACCTATCATGGCAGGGTACTTACACATCCCCACAATAAAAAATACACTACATTGTAAATAGAGATATGAGAGTACTCACAGTTACTGACAGCTAGTCAATAACAACTCTAAAATAATCATGCATGTCAGACTAAAATATCAGTCAATACCCATCCAACATCCAATGGATTAAGTGTAAAGATGTATATAACAGTTGGAGAAAAACATGACCTTATGCAATGCCAATGTACAGGTATCAACAGATTGTAGAGCCATGGGTGAATTATTTCTTGATTTAACTATGAACATAAACTTTTTGAGAATTATTTGTTCGTTAAGATGAAATTTTATTGTATTATAGATCAGTTGCTTCATGGATTAGAGATTTGCATTAAAACCATGAAAAAGGGAGAATTAGCACAACTGTTGGTTTCACCAGACTATGCATATGGTAAACTTGGTATAGAACCAAGAATTCCTGGGAATTCAACAGGTAATGTAAAACAGATAAGAGTTCTCAAAATCTTTTTAGTCCCCTACCGACGAAGTCGAAGGTGACTTTAGGTTTTCACTCCGTCTGTCTGCCTGTCTGTCTGTCTGTCTGTCCATTTGTCAGTCCGGCAAATCAGTTATCCAGACTTTTTTTCTTTATGCTTGAAGATATTGATTTGATATTTGGTGTATTGTTTTATCATGACAAGTTACAGATCAATTTCAATTTTCACGATTTTAGCTTTTCTGCTTGTTCAGTTAAAGCCCTTTCCCTAGAATTAAATTTTTGACAAATTACTTATTAATTACTAGATTTCTGTTCAAAGGGAAATAACTCTTTTTTTAAAGATATTTTTATTAATGATAATTGACATTTTGGATTTGTTCACTTTTCTTTGGTAAATTGTTTGTAGAATTTAGTTGTAGGTTAGTTTGTTATTGATTCTGTATTAAATAATTTTCTGAATGCTACATATTAAAAAAAAATTTGGATGAAGTGAACAAATTTATTTAGATAATAATCTATTTTTGTCGAGCCTGCGACTTTTGTCGCAGAAAGCTCGACATAGGGATAGTGATCCGGCGGCAGCTACGGCGGCGGCGGCGTTAGCTAACTTCTTAAAAGCTTTATATTTTAGAAGGTGGAAGGTCTGGATGCTTCATACTTTGTATATGGATGCCTCATGTTACGAAGTTTCCGTCAGTCACATGTCCAATGTCCTTGACCTCATTTTCATGGTTCAGTGACTACTTGAAAAAAAAGTTGAGATTTTTTGTAATGTTAAATTCTCTCTTATCATAAGTAATAGGATAACTATATTTGGTATGTGCGTACCTTGCAAGGTCCTCATGCCCGTCAGACAGTTTTCACTTGACCTCAACCTCATTTCATGGATCAGTGAACAAGGTTAAGTTTTGGTGGTCAAGTCCATATCTCAGATACTATAAGCAATAGGTCTAGTATATTCGGTGTATGGAAGGACTGTAAGGTGTACATGTCCAACTGGCAGGTGTCATCTGACCTTGACCTCATTTTCATGGTTCAGTGGTTATAGTTAAGTTTTTATACGACCGCAAAAAAATTTTGTGGTCGTATATTGGTATGACGTTGGCGTCGTCGTCGTTGTCGTCCGGCGTCGTCGTCGTCGTCGTCGTCCGGCGTCGTCCGAGACACATTGGTTTTCCCACTCTAACTTTAGTTTAAGTGAATGGATCTCTATGAAATTTTACCATAAGGTTCAATACCACAAAAGGAAGATTGGGATTGATTTTGGGGGTTATGGTACCAACAGTAAAGGAATTAGGGGCCAAAAGGGGCCAAAAATAAGCATTTTTGTAACTTCCAGACATAACTTGTGTGTTAGTGTATGGATCTCTCTGACATTGTACCACAAGGTTCCATATCAAAAAAGGAATGCTGGGATTGATTTTGGGGGTAATTGCCTCAAAATTTTAGGAATTAGGGGCCAAAAAAGGGGCAAAAAACAAGCATTTTTCTAGTTTCATGATAATAACTTGTGTGTAAGTGTATGGATCTTTCTGAAATTGTACTACAAGGTTCCATATCACAAAGGGAAAGCTTGAATTGAGTATGGGGGTAATTGCCCAAAACGTTTAGGAATAAGGGGCCAAAAAGGGGCCAAAAATAAGCATTTTTCTAGTTTCCAGACAATAACTTGTGTTAAAGTGTATGGATCTCTCTGAAATTGTACCACAAGGTTCCATATCACACAGGGAATGCTGGGATTGATTTTGGGGGTAATTGCCTCAAAATATTAGGAATTAGGGGCCAAAAAAGGGGCAAAAAACAAGCATTTTTCTAGTTTCATGATAATAACTTGTGTGTAAGTGTATGGATCTTTCTGAAATTGTACTACAAGGTTCCATATCACAAAGGGAAAGCTGGAATTGAGTTTTGGGGTAATTGCATTAAACGTTTAGGAATTTGGGGCCAAAAAGGGGCCAAAAAACACATTTTTTTTAGTTTCCAGACAATTACTTGTGTTCAAGTGTATGGATCTCTATGAAATTGTACTGCAAGGTACCGTACCACAAAGGGAAGGCTGGGATTGAGTTTGGGGTGATGAATCATAAGGGGGTTCAAAAAATTTGGGGGGGGGGATTTTTTCATTTCATTTTTTTTCTTTTTTTCCTTTTTTTTTTCTTTTAAAATTTTCCATTTTAAGTTGGTTATTTCTGATTTATATTTAAAAGCAAATAAAATATAATGATATGGTAGGAGATACACACCAAACAGGATGTGTAAATTTTTATATAATAAGTATTGTGCAATAGCAAGAAATTTTCAATTGCACAGTATTGCACAATAGCAAGAAATTTTCAATTGCACAGTATTGCGCAATAGCAAGAAATCTTCAATTGCACAGTATTGCGCAATAGCAAGAAATATCCAATAGCACAATATTGCGCAATAGCAAGAAATTGTCAATTGTACAGTATTGCGCAATAGCAGGAAATATTCAATTGCACAGTATTGTGCAAAAGAAGTACTTCGTATAAATTGCTTATTTCTTGACCAATTTCAATGGGGTTTTATTCTTGAATTCTTGGGGTTCTTTAATATGCTGAATCTAACCGTGTATTAAGTTTTTGGATTTTGGGCGCCGTTTTTTAAATTGGTCCACATTGAGGTCCAAAGGGTCCAAAATTAAACTTTGTTTGATTTCATCAAAAATTAAATTATTGGGGTTCTTTGATATGCCGAATCTAACCGTGTATTTAGATTCTTAATTTTTGGTTCCGTTTTCAAATTGGTCTACATTAAGGTCCAAAGGGTCCAAAATTAAACTTAGTTTGATTTTAACAAAAATTGAATTCTTGGGGTTCTTTGATATGCTGAATCTAAACATGTATTTAGATTTTTGATAATGGGCCCAGTTTTCAAGTTGGTCCAAATCGGGGTCCAAAATTAAACTTTGTTTGATTTCAACAAAAATTGAATATATGGGGTTCTTTGATATGCTGAATCTAACCATGTATTTAGATTTTTGATTTTTGGGCCCCGTTATCAACTTTGTCCACATTGAGGTCAAAAGGGTCCAATATTAAACTTTGTTTGATTTCTTCAAAAATTGAATTCTTGGGGTTCTTTGATATGCTGAATCTAACCATGTATTTAGATTTTGGATATTGGACCATAATAGGTGAATGTCCAATTTAAAATTTTTAAGTTCTTAGACCACATTCATTCTGTGTCAGAAACCTATGCTGTGTCAAATATTTAATCACAATCCAAATGCAAAGCTGTATCAAGCTTGAATGTTGTGTCCATACTTGCCCCAACTGTTCAGGGTTCGACCTCTGCGGTCGTATCAAGCTGCGCCCTGCGGAGCATTTTATTGTGTTTTGGTCTGTTTTTCTTATACTGTATGCAATAGGTCTTCTATATTTGGTGTATGGAATGATTGTAAGGTGTACATGTCTAGCGGGCAGGTGTCATCTGACCTTGACCTCATTTTCATTGTTCAGTGGTCAAAGTTAAGTTTTTGAGTTTTGGTCTTTTTTTCTAATACTTTATGCAATATTTCAACTATATTTGGTGTATGGAAATATTTTATGATCTATTTGTCAGTCACGCAGGTTTTATTTGACCTTGACCTCATTTTCAAGGTTCATTGCTCAGTGTTAAGTTTTTGTGTTTTGGTCTGTTTTTCTTAAACTATAAGCAATAGGTCAACTGTATTTGTTGTATGGAAGAATTGTTAGCTGTACATGCCTGCCTAGCATGGTTCATCTGACATTGACCTCATTTTCATGGTTCATTGGTCAATGTTTAGTTTACTTGGTTAATGTTAATTTTATGTGACAGTTGTAATAAAGCTTTATATTTAGGACTATCAACATAATATCAATGATTAGTAAAGAAGGCGAGACATTTCAGCGTGTGCACTCTTGTTGATAAAGGATATATTTCATTTAAGAAATAATTCATGGAAGCCATATATTTGTTTGGAAATTTACACATGGCCTTGGCCATGATTATCAAATTTATCCTGAGTGTTATTGAGGGATAAAATTAACGAATACATTGCCCAGGCCATGTGTAAATTCACTAAAATAATCAGTTTTCGACACTTTTTATTGTCTTTCTTGAAGATATTGATTTGATAATTAGTATATAGTTTTATCATGACAAGTTACAGATCAAGTTCGAATTTTGTTCTGGTCTGATGATTTTGTGCAGAGTTATGGTCTTTGGACATAAAAAAAATCACTTAAATAATCAGTTTTCAACAGTTTTTTGTCATGATTGAAGATATTGACATGATATTTTTATGTAGTTAAATACACCATGACAAGATATAGATCAAGTTAGAATTTCGTTCCATTACAATGAATATTTAACAGGTAGGGACTATTTATTGCTATGCAATACTCTCAGAATGCTTGTTATCTCTGGTGAAGAAATACTGCTGGTCCTCACTATGATTTTTATTGTAAAATACCAAAATTGTGTCGGTCATTTGCAAATTTTAAGGTCTCTGACAGACGCATATTTATGTATATAGCATGGGATACTGAGAATTGAATGAACACTAATTTGATGTATAAAGATAAGCATGATAAGAGACATATAGATTCCACCACTGCAACAAGTGTGTTACGATATTTCTCCTCTCGAGACAGTTAAATTTAAATATTTAAAGCGTGAGGCTTGCTGAGCTTTTAAGATAATTAAAATTCAACTGTTGAGAGTGGAGTAATATCGTAAAACACAGTGGCGGATCCAGAGGGGGGCGTAGAGGGCGTACGCCCCCCCTTTGCTTGGACTTTTTTTTTTTTTTATGTAAAAGATTAATCAGACTAGACTTCGTGAACTTTGCCATTTCCCGTGTATTTAATTTTTATGCGACAACTCTTTACTTATAAAGATATTTTTCGCTGGTATTTACTGATTATGTCAAAGTCATGTGATTCGCTATGGTGGAGTTGACCAGTGCGTCAAAAAAACGTCACTCAGTCATTTTGAAAATTCAAATAACAGTAAATTACATTGCTTAGGCTGAGGATGACAACCATGATACCTTCAAAGCGACACAGGATTGAGCAAGAACGTAGTGACTTCTATTTCACAATTCAACCAAACAGAAAGTAATACTCTATTACACTCTCATGAAAAAAAAATCCACAGCAATATTATTTACCTACGAAAACATGTTTAACCCCAAACGCCCCAGCCTATTTAAAAATAACATGAAAGCTGAATAATGATCCCCAGTCAGTATAAGCTCTAGATAGATTTAAAGTCTAAGGTACGAACCATTTGATTTGAGGAGGCAGTCTAAGGTATTTAAGAGAAAACAATCTGACTCTGATTTTTGCATTAAATAAAAATTCTGGCCGTATCTGGATTGAAAACAATAATCTTGTCCACTTTTTTGCTATTAGAAACGAAAATTTCCAACAGAATTATTTAGCATTAAATGAACATGATGAATAAAAAATGGGCGTATTTTTTTGAGGCCAGGGTTTGCATGTCTGACCGGAATGTCTGTTTCACCGAACTGATATATTGAATACTTTTTTCAAGACCAGACTGCAACCTGACTGCTGAGTGTGGCCTTTATGTCTCCATTTGTCGACCGTCATTCATAAATTCGTTGTCATTTCAGACTCATTTGTAGCCTTTGGTTGATTTGGAACCCCTCACCTCCCTTAATTTTGTTTGGTGAAACATATCAACAAAATATTTGGATAAAAATTGCTTGTTTGACTTTTTTAACTCGTGTCGGTCGTATTGTAAATTTCATCGAATAGCCCGGCGTATTTCTTGTTTACAACAAGAAATCTGTGAGGTTATGCTAACTTAACATACAACAAACGAGAATTTTCCATGTCTATTTTTTACTGGCAAGTCCCACATCAAATATATCAGTACATAGCTTTGGATCCATACTATCATTTTATGATAGACAATCAATAGGGAGAATACAGCATAAAACATGTCCAACCCTTACACTTTACAGCAACTATAGAATATACATGCCCCTCGCCAGGAACCGTTTAAAAAGTGAATTTTACACTTATTTTATGTTTTATAGCCCAAAAAAGGTCCCAAAAATTTTTCGCCTCGATCCGCTCGGCAATCTTTAAAAACTTCGCCCCCCCTTTCCAAATTCCTGGATCCGCCCCTGAAACATGAGTTAAAGTGTTGCAATCTTTTTCACTATTAAATGATTTTTATCCTTCCTTTTCAAAGATTTTCCAGAAAGTTGTGTTTTTTATATGTGACGTCATCAGGCATGGTCGCCTTTTTTCATGACGTCACAGCATGCATAGTAGGAAAATTCAGAAGAAACCAAGAAAATTTGACGTCATTATTAAATTTTGATCAATCATTTGCTGAGAACAGATTCTTCACTAGTGAGAAGAAAATATTTTTCTCACACCGATCAAGAAATGTAAAAATAGTATAAAAATTAAAGAAGGGATATTGAGCTTTAGTAAAAGTAAATTACATTGTGCAGTAAACCATACCTCGGCCATCAGAAATGCTCCAGAATAATGACATTCTCTTACCCTCTTGTGGCAAGGTGTGTTTGACTCAATTTAAAGAGCTACTAAAACGCTATAATCATGTTTGTCTTATTCTAAAGTTCGTAATTAACGTTTAAGAATGCAAAAAAAACGATATAATTTCATCTTGTAATTATCGAGATATTTGCAAATTACTGTCAGTTTGCCATTTGAACACCTGAACGATTTAGTAAAACACACCACTACAACTCACTACTTATACCCAACAGATTTGATGCACAGTGGGTATCCCTGATCAGATACGTGTGTTATATCGTATGTAAACAGATTAGGCTTTCTAAGTAAAATAACAGTTTTGATATATATCGGTGACAATTATTACATTGAGAATATTGACATACATTTATCGATGCTTAATATTCACATAATTATTTTAATCGAATGTTTATGATTAGAAATTTATTGGAAAACCACAAGCACAAATCTGAGACTATTATAACACATATATTGTAGTAGTCTCAGCACAAGTCAACCTTTTTTTTCTATAAAATATTAACATGTGCATCCTTAAGTGGCGGTAGAAGCAGAAGTAGAACCCTGCATGTTATTTTCCATGGCGGAAAAACGGCATTCCCAACACGTGCTTCCAAAAGACGACGGAGGTCGTAACTTGTTGATTTGTTAAAATTAAACTATGGGTTTTTCTGAGGTACATAAAAATAAAAATTCTCTTACTAACTTACCGAAGTACTTAAACGGTTTCATAATGACATAGTGCCAACAAATATATCCTTTTCATGCATAAAATTTGACATCTATTCATTACAGCAGCATTTCAAATTATATAAGTTTATTCTCCAGATATTATGTGAAGAATTGATTAGTCAGTACTGTTAGTCACAGTAATCTGCTTGGCTGGTTTAGCAAAAAATGTATTGATCAAGCTATTTCATGAAAAAAAAATGAAATACTGGATAGACTTGTAGTTAACATATACCAAAATTTAAAAATCAAACAAAATTTAAAATTGGAAATCCGTATAAGTATATATGATTGTCATAGTCCTTGGATTTTACGTACAAATATTATTATATGTGTCATATATACTATACACGTTATATAAGATCCAACCATTATGAGCATAGTCCTACCTATGGATGAATGTCATGAATGTAGGATAGAAAGTCACAGTACAAAAATCCACAATTCAGTTTTTAGTTTATTCATTTTTTGAATAAGAAAAAAATTGTCAAAATAATTTTTGTATTTTTTTAAGAACTTTTATATATATGGCAACTATGCAAACAAAATTTATTCTGAAAAAGTCAATAATGAAAAAATAATTGTAAAGATAACAATTGGTCAAAGTGGCTTGGTACTTAAACGGTTTCATAATGTCATAGTGCCAAAATATATATCCTTTTCATGCATTAAATAAAAAAATATACCATACTGCTTTTAAAATATTCACCTTTTCTTTCATTTGAAATTTAAGCAATGACAAATAAATAACTAAACAAGAAAAATATTAATCCTCTCGATCACCTTTTGATCCTGGTAATTAAAACAGTCCGTACTTTGACACCTACTGATAAGTAAACATCCTGTAGGTAGTAAAGATCAAACAGTAGCTATTATCCCTCAACTCAGGTAATTAACAACTTGGCCATGCAGAAATGCCACCTGTTGTTTATAAAGTGATAAACTTTATAGTTTGATAATTATCATAATTGAAAATGTATTGCATATACCCGGTTTTTAACTTGCAATTAATTATTTTTATTACATGGAACAGAAGCCTCTACCTTCATATCTTGTCAAAATGTTATGCAACTTTACGTACAAGTAAATATAAATTAACTCAATATATTTTTTTTCTAGAATATTATATATTGACCGTCAGTTTGTCTCTTTTCTACGATCCGGAACATTGTTATCAGTTGAAAACTCAATGTTGAATTACCCCAGCTCCATCCCCCTGTTTCTATTGAAACACTTTATAAATACACTTCCCTTCTGAAACATATTTTGTTCCTTTTGACAAATTGATCATACTGAAGAATGAGCCTTGAAGGGGTAGCGAAATTCATTGGCAGTGCTTAAAATCAACGATCAGAAGAAAATCATTTGTTAAACAACGTTTAGATAAGCCGAAGAAGTCACCCACAGTGCGTCACTTTCGGTAGCTTTGGTCCCAGTGGTGTTTCCGGAAGTAGCGTTGATTGGATTCCCCTAAGGTAAAAATAGTTGAACTTTACACGCTATTATCTCTATAATTAGTGGAGTAAATTGCATTGGATTTTTTGCATTTTTTATCAATTATTTCGAACTTTTAGTGAAGATTGACTTGTTATGTGCGTTTTAGTACCTCTTTAAGGTTGACAAGGATTCATAGTTTTCTTGCTGAACGTCAGTGGTTCAACTCAGCCCTAGGTACGCCAGCTATCTTCACTAATAGCAACTTGAACCACCTGATATGACCAAAGTAGCAGAACAAGCGGAAAGTGGCATTAAATGAAAAAGACAAACAAACAAAAATTCCTATATAATTTTGAATGTGACATGATTCACCAACACTGCCAAAATTTTAGTTTATTGTAAAATACCATAGCAATAACAATAAAGTTGGCAAAAACATTTGTACAATCACAGAAGATGTTATCTTTGGAACTGTAAGCCAATTTACAAGGCTTATTTTCCTACTTATTCAAAAGGTAATATGATGTTTCATTTCTTGTGAATGAGAAAACTGACATGTTATTTTAACATTTTTTACAAGAATTGTAAACATTTTTGATGTTATTTTTAGTGATGTTTAAGTTGGAGCTGTTGAACTTTGTTGAGCATGCCGGTATAGAGGATTATGACATGATGACAAAGGTAGGATAGTCTTCAAAAGATGTAACATGCTGTGGGTTAAGAACATATTTAGATTTACCTTTATTCTAGCTTTATCCTAAATAGTGTGAGCTGTTTACAGAAAACATGTCTTATCAAAGATAGAATCAGTATGTTAACAATAAAAGCACTATCACTGGTTTTTGTCGAGCCTGCGAATTAAGTTGCAGAAAGCTCGACATAGGGATAGTGATCCGTCAGCGGCGGCGTTAACTAACTTCTTAAAAGCTTTATATTTTTGAAGGTGGAAGACCTGGATGCTTCATACTTTGCATATAGGTGCCTTATGTGACGAAGTTTCCTTCTATCACATGTCCATTGTCCTTGACCTCATTTTCATGGTTCAATGACTGCTTGAAAAAAAGTTAAGATTTTTTGTAATGTTAATTTCTTTCTTATTATGAGTAATAGGATAACTATATTTGGTATGTGCGTACCTTGCAAGGTCTTCATGCCCGTCAGACAGTTTTCACTTGACCTCGACCTCATTTCATGGATCAGTGAACAAGGTTAAGTTTTGATGGTCAAGTCCATATCTCGGATACTATAAGCAACAGGTCTAGCATATTTGGTGTATGAAAGGATTTTAAGGTGTACATGTCCAACTGGCAGGTGTCATCTGACCTTGACCTCATGTTCATGGTTCAGTGGTTATAGTTAAGTTTTTGTGTTTTTGTCTGTTTTTCTTATACAGTATGCAATAGGTCTACTATATTTGATGTATGGAATGATTGTAAGGTGTACTTGTCCAGCTGGCAGGTGTCATCTGACCTTGACCTCATTTTCATAGTTCAGTGGTTATAGTTAAGTTTTTGTGTTTTTGTCTGTTTTTCTTATACAGTATGCAATAGGTCTACTATATTTGATGTATGGAATGATTGTAAGGTGTACATGTCCAACTGGCAGGTGTCATCTGACCTTGACCTCATTTTCATGGTTCAGTGGTCAAAGTTAAGTTTTTGAGATTTGGTCTTTTTTCTAATACTATATGCAATAGGTCAACTATATTTGGTGTATGGAAATATTTTATGATGTACATGTCAGTCTCACAGGTTTTATTTGACTGTGACCTCATTTTCACAGTTCATTGCTCAGTTTTAAGTTTTTTTGTTTTGGACTGTTTTCTTAAACTGTAAGCAATAGGTAAACTATATTTGTTGTATGGAAGGAATGTAAGCTGTACATGTCTGTCTGGCATGGTTCATCTGACCTTGACCTCATTTTCATGGTTCATTGGTCAATTTTTAGTTTTCTTGATTAAGTCTGTTTCTTAGAAACTATAAGCTATAGGTCAACTATATTTAGTGTATTGAATGATTGTAAGGTGAACATGTATTTCTTGTCTGGTTTACATGACTTTGACCTCATTTTTTGGGATTTTTTTAAGTTTATGTGATAGTTATAGTAAAGCTTTATATTTAGGGCTATCAACATAATATCAATGGTTAATAAAGAAGGCGAGACATTTCAGCTTGTGCACTCTTGTTTAAATTTGTTTTAAGTTGAGGGCTCACTGTGACTTTGAAAAGAAGAAAAGCAATACAAGCACTGTTCCTTTGATTGAAGTTTTTTTGTGTGAATATTTTAGACATATACTGCAAATTAAGATTTTGCCACAGTCAAACTGGCTTTTTTTTTATAAAAACATCTTCCTTCTTCATCAGCTCAATATAGAACTATAATCATTTGGTTTGCACTGATAAATATATTTAATTTTGTATGAAATTGGTTTTTCCTGTTTGCTATTTATAGTGGAAACTAGTATAACTATTTCTGCAACAGTACTAACTATTTATAAAGTTTAATGTTAGGCGCATAAGGCACGAGAAAAGTTTTGGCGGTTTCTACGGGTGGGGTTTTATTGTACTTTATAAAGTTTGGCATTTAAATGTATTAGTATCAAAGGTGCTCGCAGTTATGTTGAATTGATGTTAGTCACATAAGTATAAATACAGTTGCTACTATGTTTATAACATGTATTTACATTGCTTATGTTGTTTGAAATCTGTACTATTATATAAGAGAAAATATTGTATTGCAAGAGAAAATAATATGTTACTGCGAGCAACTATTATAAATCCTTTTTCTGTGTTTGTGCTGTTTAAAGTCAAATGAATTTAGAGTAGAAATACTTTAAATTCAGAGGAGCAGGGCGAGAGGGATTTAAGGTACTTGTGATCCTTTTCTACAATTGGATGCTTGATTTTTAGCTCACCTGACCTGAAAGGTCAAGTGAGCTTTTCTCATCACTTGGCATCCGTCGTCGTCGTCTGTTAACTTTTACAAAAATCTTCTTCTCTGAAACTAATGGCCTAAATTTAACCAAACTTGGCCACAATCATCACTAGGGTATCTAGTTTAAAAAATGTGTCCGATGACCACGCCTGCCAACCAACATGGCCGACATGGCTAAAAATAGAACATAGGGGTAAAATACAGTTTTTGGCTTATATCTCTGAAACTAAAGCATTTAGAGCAAATCTGACATGAGGTAAAAATGTTCATCGGGTTAAGATCTATCAGCCTCAATTTTTCAAACAAATCCGACAACCCGTTGTTGGGTTGTTGCCCCTGAGTTAGTAATTTTACGGAAATTTTGCAGTTTTTTGTTATTATCTTAGATATCATTATAATATCTAATATCTAATACTATTAATTATGATTTTAACCTTATTGTACATGATTTCCAAAGCATTGGTAAATACAGGTGAGCGACACAGGCTCTTGAGAGCCTCTAGTTTGGTATTTTAACCAAATTTTCTAAATTTCATTTATCTTTAAACGTTATTGATATACAGTTAATATAATGGATTCTTCACAATATATCACTGAAATAAAAATTCTATTTTTTGTTGCAGGAAGAAAGGGATAAGATAGAATTCTCAGACATACTAAAGTTTGTTGAGGTTGAAAGACAGGTAAGGAATGTGGAACACTAGCAGAAAACACACTATACATAATTTGTTCATGGGTTACATTGAATACTTCATGAGGAGAAAACAATTTGATTGGGCATAAACTTTAAATAAAAAACCAATTACTACATTAAGAATGTAACCTCTGATGAGCCAATTTTTTTTAGAATTAAACCTTTTTCCTTAACCTAATTTTTGGGTTTATATGACTGTGAAAAATTAATTGGTGAAGAAAAAATCATATGGTGGTGCACTTCTTTTTTTGCTACGGCCATTTGAAAGTACCCAATTTTGATGATTTTACCATTTTTGGGCTATTATCATGAAAACAATCAGTTTCACAATTAAACTTTTTTTCATACTTTCACTAAAGATGGTGTGGACCAATCTGAATAAATTTAACCTAAAAAAAACTAAAGGTAGGTGTTAATATAAGAAAGTTTTATAAAATTTTGTTGCTTTTTCGTGTCAAATTTACCATGAATGCTGTCAATTTTGTAAAGGAGTAGGCCCAGTAAGACCCCTTTTTGGCCCCAAAATATAGCAGTTTTACAAAATTGTTAAAATGTAAATTTTTAGCTATTCATTGGAAAGAAAAATACTTCTGTTACATAAATATGGGCTGTTTTGACAATACAATGCACATGTATGGTGTACTAGCATCATTAAGTCATGCTAAATTACTGAAATCTTCAAAATTTTAGCATTTTGGTTAATTTTTAGACGGTTTCCGTCTGAAATTGAAGTGTCCGCATTTGTGTTCATTCTTAATATTTAAATGTAAGTTGTATTTGATGTTAAAACATAACATACATAAAGGTTGAGAATGAACACGGATGCGGCCACTTTTATTTTCTGAAAAGTGACATATTATTGCATATTTGATAGATTATTTAATTTAAGCTTGAATTTGATCGTCTTTAATGACGAAATCAGTTCAAATCTCTCACATAAACTTATTGAATCGACTGAAGTAGACACTTAAGTGTTTAAAAAGTGTCCAAAATCTTTCATCAGATGAACTTGAATTTTGAGGCCAAAATCGGCCCTTACCGGACCTACTCCTTTGAGATTTTTCTCTTTTTTAAAACAAAAAGCATATTACTTCAACTTCTTTGTTATAAATGATTGAAAAAATAAATATTTAAGAAATTTTAAAAGAAAAAATTGATACGGGATGTACATGTTTATTGTAAAATCATTTCTTTTACCTCTCACCCATTTTCTCAACATTTTTGCCAATGAGGCTGACTTGATTGGCCATAAAATTTGAAAATTTTATTACTCAAAAACTACTTATTATAAATACACTATTTTTTCAAAGAGTTAAGTTTGATTATAATATTTTTTAAATTCATTGATATTTTCCATTTGTATCACATGATTTAAAAACAATTCCAAAACGAGATTTCTACGAGACTGAAACGTCAAAAGAATACATCCTTAACATATCATTATTTAAAAATCTTTTGAATAAAGTAGCCTTGGTTTTAAAGTTATATGTATCAACCAAAATTTTGATATACATATTTTATTTAGGTTTTATTATTTTGTTTATTTGTTTACTGTCAGAGGCGGATTTAGAGGGTGTTTCAGGGGGCCCGGGCCCCCCCTTTTGTGGGAAAAATTTGGTTGATTATATAGGGAATCACTGAAGCATGACTGGAACGGGCCCCCTCAGGCAGTCAGTGGGCCCCCCTTATGAATATTTCTGGATCCGCCACTGACTGTTACATAAATCATAAATCTACTGTTTGTTATATTTATGTTGGGGCTTTTTGTAAGTTAGTAATGTAAGATCTTCAATCCTCTATTCTTTTACTTTTCACACCATATTTCTCCATCCTTGATTTAGAATAATAATATTTTTCATTAGAAAGGTGATGAATTTCTGTCAAACAGCTTATACTATTCATGATCCAGCTAAAGTAAAGGTAAAATTTCTTCTTTTTTTTTATTTGTTATTCTCTATTATTTATTTTCATTACAAATTTTCTTTATTCATTATACTTTGGTCCTTTTATTTCTGTTTTGTAAAGCCCACACGAACCTTCACTTATGCATTTATATTTGTTAAAAGGGGATTTGAATAATAGCTATAACATGTTCAGTTAGATTATTCTCTGTACCAACCAAGCAAGTCTCATAAAAAATTGCTTCACTTCATTTCTAAGCAGCAATGTATTAAACTTTTTTGATATTTTATGTATGTGAATTGTATAGGTAATTCAATTTTTATTAAAGGCAGTGCTTTAATGCCTTTCTAGTTGCCGGGTTAATCCTTCCTTCCGCGATATCCATTTTATCTACGTGGGGGGTCGTTAGGCTCCAAGTAGATCCGGAAATGTTGAATTCTCTCCTCTTCTTATTGCGATATAAAATGTTTTTTGTTTCATTTCATTTACATTGGGAAATATAGAAACGATCATTGTGTTTTGTTAGTTTTAAAAACTTTAAATATATTTGTATTTTGCATTATAAGCAGTCAACCGATTGACAAACTAGAATTATTTGAATTCCGTGTGGAAAGAGCTCGGGTTAATTTCGAGTGTTATCTGCAATCTATATGTTTATAAATCATTTCAGTCGTTGATATAATAATTAAAGGTCGACTGAACATGAATTATATTATACAATTTAAAGCGCATTTCTGTTTATGCACGTGAACCCGTCTAACGTTATTGTTACTTCGCAGTTATACAAAGTAGCAAATTATCGTTCCTGAATAGGTGGCGCCGTGGTAGCCGATACTGTTCCTCAATTTCCGGTTTCTGCACTGTGCAACTATTTAGTTACATTTTTAATTAACGATGCCAAGTACTTGTTGTTGTGTACCTGGGTGTCATTTAAGAGGAGGACATGCATTTCCAAATGACTTAAAAAGAAGGAAAAGTTGGATCAACGCCATGGCCCATACGCAGATTGGACGAGAACACGATGAAATCGTGGAGTCCATCTCAATCAGCTGTTGTTTGCAAGGCACATTTTACTGAAAAAGACTACGTGCAGGAAACTATTCATGATAAAACTCTATTTTATTTTTGAAATATATAGTTATATATGTAATCGCCATGCGAATAAACCAAATTCTGTTTACAACCGCAATTATCGTTTTAGAATAAAAGGGGGTGGTTAATTCAAGACGTCATAATTTTTTGGATTACGATTCAATGTGATCTGTTTGAGATTTTTTGGTGATTGCTACAATTATAATGATTTCTTACAAGAGGTATATCATACTGAGAATTATTTTAGCAGTAATTATGCTAATGTAGTAATGACAGGAATGCATAAGCTATGCCTCATAGACTTTCTTGAAAAATATCAATGACAATGTTAACAGGAACAAAACAATGACATGCTCTCATCTATATTATAGTTAATTAAGTATAAACAATGTACGTTTGTTGCATAAGTCTCTCATTGTTTGTCCTTGGCTTTGGATTTACATAACATACATTGAATCAGGCAAACATAGTTTTATCCAGATTGTAATGAATAAATCTAGTTAATATTTCGCCAGGTAATACAAAGTATACATTGCTAATGGAAGTTCATTTAATTATCAAAAAACTAATGTTTTATAACCTTTTTCAGGGCGCAAACCCACCATTCAGAGACTTAAGTCTACTGCCATTCCCAGCCTATTTTCCTGGACCAAGCAAGAGACTGAATCGTCCGCAAAAAGAAAAATCAGGGCAGTTTCCTGTGAAAACAAAAGAACCAAACTTGATGAATATTGTAGTAGAAATCTAGAGGAAAGTTTTGATTGTAAAGTTGGTTTTCCTGAAGAAGTCCTTCATACTGCAGAAAGGATTTATGACTGTCCACCACCAACTGCCGAGCTAATGTTGAGCTTCACAGATGGAATTATGCAAACACCATCAATGCCTATGTTTTCAGCAGAGAATTTTGAAATGAAGACATGTGACACAGCCATGCATTTTTATACCGGTTTAGAGTTGTATACTAAATTTTTATTTGTTTTGACCACACTTGGTCCAGCAGCACATTGTTTGAGATACATATATTTTCAAATTGATAGGGTGTCAGTTGAAAATCAGTTTTTTTATGACTTTGATGAAATTGAGGCATTATACAACCAACTTTGAACTTTCTAGATTCTAGATTGAATCTCGTGTTAAGAATATTGTGTATACATGGATTGTTTTTATGTCTAAACAGTGGTGTGAGGCTAACACTTGGCCATCTAGTGGTTTAGTCAGGTATTTTTCACCATCCAACTTCAAATTAAAGTTTCCTACGACTTGGATTATTATTGACAGCACAGAATATCCCGTGATAAAACCTAAAGCTCCTAGAGCTCAGGCAACCTTTTCATCATATGAAAACAGAAACACTGAAAATACTTGTATGTTCGACACCTGGTGGTTTAGTCAGCGATGTCTCTAATGCATATGTTGGTTCTACCAGTGACTATGAAATAGTTGAAAGATGTAGAATAGTTCAATTATGTGATCCAGGTGACAGTGTGATGGCAGACAAAGGTTTAAATGTGCAAGATTTGTTTGCTAACTTTTTTCAAAAAAAGAAACAGAATTAGTTCCAAAACTCTTATACGGGATAGAAAAGTCTCCAATTAACATGTGCACATAGAGCGAATTATTGGACTTGGCAAAACATACAAAATTCTAATAAATCCTATGAATGGAACTGAAACAAAACTTTCATCTGAAATAACATTTAGTTGTACTATGTTGTGTAATTTTAGAACTTGTATTGTGCCAAAGGATGCATAAATAAAAGTGACGCAATGAATTTTGTTCTGATATATATATATTTATAATTACATGCACATGTAAATTGTAATGCATATAAAAATAAGGAGATGTGGTATGATATTCAGTGAGTTTATCGAACTAAAGTGCATAAGAAATGGGTTTAAGCAGTTACAGGTGTTACTGTCACCGTACAATCTCCAACAATGAGAAAAACTTGTACCATGTAAAACATTTCAGAGATCTTACCACTAAGTTTTGTTGTCTCACCTTGACTTTGGTGAATTGTTTATATCTGTTGATGTAAATATAAAAAAGAAGATGTGGTATGATTGCCAATGAGACAACTCTCCACAAGAGACCAAATGACACAGAAATTAACAGCTATAGGTCACAGTACTGCCTTCAACAATGAACAAAGCCCATACCGCACAGTCAGCTATAAAAGGCCCCGAAATGACAATGTAAAACAATTTAAACAAGAAAACTAACGGCCTAATTTATGTACAAAAAATGAACGAATATAACAAATATGCAACACATAAACAAACAACAACCACTGAATTACAGGCTCCTGACTTGGGACAGGCACGCCACATACATGTACATACAGAATGTGTCGGGGTTAAACATGTTAGCGGGATCCCAACCCTCCCCCTAGCCTGGGACAGTGGTGTAACAGTACAATATAAGAACGAACTATAAAAATCAGTTGAAAGAGGCTTAACTCATCAGATGGATAAATACAAATACAAGTGGACGTGGTCGGGTAGTTGTAAATCCAAACAACAAAAAGACACTAAGTACAGATCTGAGAGTACTCAAAGTTACTGACAGCTAGTTCAAAGCCACTAACAACTGATAAAAAAATCTTGCATCTAAGACTAAATTATCAATCCGTAAGCTCCCTTTAGAATTTTATAAATTTTAGATTTTACATTTCTGAGTTATGGGGTTTTATTCATTAAAAAAGGGGGGATTTTCCAGTTTTTGTCGAGCCTGCGACTTTTGTCGCAGAAAGCTCGACATAGGGATAGTGATGTGGCGGCGGCGTTAGCTAACTTCTTAAAAGCTTTATATTTTAGAAGGTGGAAGACCTAGATGCTTCATACTTTGTATATGGATGCCTCATGTTACGAAGTTACCGTCAGCCACATGTCCAATGTCCTTGACCTCATTTTCATGGTTCAGTGACTACTTGAAAAAAAAGTTAACATTTTTTGTAATGTTAAATTCTCTCTTATTATAAGTAGTAGGATAACTATATTTGGTATGTGCGTACCTTGCAAGGTCCTCATGCCCGTCAGACAGTTTTCACTTGACCTCGACCTCATTTCATGGATCAGTGAACAAGGTTAAGTTTTGGAGGTCAAGTCCATATCTCAGATACTATAAGCAATAGTCAAGTATATATTTGGTGTATGGAAGGACTGTAAGGCGTATATGTCCAACTGGCATGTGTCATCTGACCTTGACCTCATGTTCATGGTTCAGTGGTTATAGTTAAGTTTTTGTGTTTTGGTCTGTTTTCTTATACTGTATGCAATAGGTCTACTATATTTGGTGTATGGAATGATTGTAAGGTGTACATGTCTAGCTGGCAGGTCTCATTTGACCTTGACCTCATTTTCATGTTTCAGTGGTCAAAGTTAAGATTTTGAGTTTTGGTCTTTTTTTCTAATACTATATGCAATAGGTCAACTATATTTGGTGTATGGAAATATTTTATGATCTATATGTCAGTCGCGCAGGTTTTATTTGACCTTGACCTCATTTTCACAGTTCATTGCTCAGTGTTAAGTTTTTGTGTTTTGGTCTGTTTTTCTTAAACTATAAGCAATAGGTCAACTATATTTGTTGTATGGAAGAATTGTTAGCTGTACATGTCTGCCTGGCATGGTTCATCTGACCTTGACCTCATTTTCATGGTTCATTGGTCAATGTTTAGTTTTCTTGGTTAATGTTAAGTTTATGTGACAGTTGTAATAAAGCTTTATATTAAGGACTATCAACATGATATCAGTGATTAGTAAAGAAGGCGAGACATTTCAGTGTGTGCACTCTTGTTGGACAACAACTCAAAAATGCTTTAAGCAGTTCGCATGAAACTTTGGTGAATTATTTATAGCTATTGATGTAATCTCCCTATAGATTTTCATAAATTTCAAATATGACATTGAGAAGAAATTGAACTTTATTTGTTTATAGTCTGGCAACAGATTTATTAAGTATTGCGCAACAGCACAGTGTATTGCACAACAGCAAGAAATCTTTAATTGAATATAAATTCAATTCATATAACCGATTTCAAGTTCTTTGACTACATTTATTCAGAAACTATAATATGTCAAATATTTAATTACAATCCAAATTCAGACCTGTATCAAGCTTGAATATTGTGTCCATTTTTGCCCCAACTGTTCAGGGTTGGACCTCTGCGGGTGTATCCAGCTGCGCTCAGCGAATCAGTTTATTTCTTAATTAAGAACTCCTTTTTTCATTCATAAATTACTTTATACTTGGAAATATAATTTTGCTTGGAGTTATAGTTTCTTAAAAAAGTATTGTCATTGAAAGAGTTGACATGTTGCAATGTACATTTATTCTACATAGTTCTATGGTACCAAATCAAAAGTTTATATAAAAGAAAGAAGTCAAAGGTTTCCCATCATAGTTAAGTTACATACATTTTTTTTGTACCTGAGGTCGTTGAATATAGATCATTATATAAATAAGGAGATGTGTTATGATTGCCAATGAAACAAATATCATCCATACTTAACAGTAACAAACCACATTTGCAGAGTTGAATAAAATACAGTTGATAACATTTACTTATTACTAAAAAGAAAATGCCTAACTATTTTAAACAGTATTTGAATATCAATTATATGGTCATTTTTATAAACTTCCTGTTACAAAACTTTGAATTTTTCGAAAAACTAAGGATTTTCTTATCCAAGAATAGATTACCTTAGCCGTATTTCGCACAACTTTTTGGAATTTTGGGTCCTCAATGCTCTTCAACTTTGTACTTGTTTGGCTTTATAACCATTTTGATCTGAGCGTCACTGATGAGTCTTATGTAGACGAAACGCGCGTCTGGCGTATTTAATTATAATCCTGGTACCTTTGATAACTAATTTGACTATAAACATAGATAAAAAAAGGTACAAACTGGACATAATGCACTAGTTCATAAACAAGTGAGAACAATCACCTTCATATAGTGCTCAGAATATGACATTCATATAACTTGTTCAATATCATTAGAGAACTCTAAATCTTAAATACTGAAAGCCACCTCTGATAAGTACACTGTACTATGCAAGATAATGATATAACTGGACTAAAAATACACACAACCTGTAATTAACTGCCTTTACAGCGCTTTCGCGCTTTGATTCAAAACAATATGGTTTTAATTATGATTAGTATGTATGTCAGCCAGCTTTTTACTAATATCAAATTTTCATTTCAGCTTGGATTACAAGTGTATAAAGAACATGCTTACCATAAAGCCTTTGGCCATTATAAAAAGGTACAGTACTTTTAACATTTATTATTTATGGAGAAAGTGTTGTTTCAGGTATATTTGATATTTACTTCTGTATACATATTTATAATACATCTAATAAATATCAAATTGAACATACTCTACAAGTTTGGCAGGGAGAAGTCTTTATTTGATAGTAATTCCATAAAATTTGAAATAACAGAAATTCATATATTTAAAGAGGATTGCCAACAGCCAGGGGCTATGTGTGTGGGTCTCCTCTGATATATTGGCTTGTAAGATTTTGTAAATTGTGTCTCTTTTACATAACATTTCTAATAAATATCAAATTGAACATGCTCTACAAGTTTGGCAGGGAGAAGTCTTTATTTGAAAGTAATTCCATAAAATTTGAAATACCAGTAATTCATATTTTCTTAATTATAAATCACATAATCTGACAATAATTTTGAGTTCAAAAGTGCTTCTTATATGTAAAGAGGGAATTGCAAAATGGGTGTTCAAGGCATGGACATTCTAACATCTTGTGTAATTTAAAATATGTGTCCATGAGTTTTGCATTGACCTGAAACTTAAGTTGTAGTTTTCATGAGTAGTTCCCCTTAGCCAAAATTTTGAATTAGAAACAGGTGTTCATTTAAAAACTGACTATTTCTCTTTATATCACTATGAAAAAATAAAAAGTGATTTAAATATGTGTGAATTTTTTCATCACCAAAATTTCAAAGTTTTGTTATGTTGTTATTAAATTAATTGGGGATATCTGAATGGAGTTTTGTCATATTGTGATTTATGGCTGTTTAACTTCCATTGAGAAATAATACATACATGTGTAGGTAAATAACATGTTTATGTCATGTGACTAGACCCTGCTTTGTGCTAGACTGGCATACTGGGTCATATTTTTACAATCTAGCCCAAAAGGGAGTACTCTACCTGAAGACTTCTCTACATGGACTCAATTTTTGGATTCTTAATCAATCATGTGTAGATTATTTATTTCTTATTATGTATTTATTAGAGAAGTCCAGACTTGACATTAGTAATACTTTACTTACATATCAGACCTAAGACAAATATATAATGTATTTATAATGGACCATTGAATATTATTTGAATTGAATAATCTCCACTTTACCTTAATGATATGAATTCAAAAATAATTTATTTCAGCACCTATAACCAATCCATTGTATGTATGCCTAATAAGTCCAATATGTGAGTAAAGTTTAGTTAATTCCAACTACCTTGACATTTCTATTATGTAATTGTTTCTCCTGGTAGACTTTACTAAACGAATGACGAAATAAGAACATTTTACCTATATTGTTAGGCAGCAATGATGCTTGAATCCAGGAATGTAAAAGATGAAGAGGAGGAGAAAACTCACAGGGGGAAGTTGTTTACTCTGTATTCCAACATGGCTGTGTGTGCATCAAAACAAAATAAATTTAACCTGGTTATGACATACTGCAACAAAGGGAGAGAAATAGAACCAAACAATGTCAAACTTCTCTTCCTTCAAGGAAAGGTGAGTAAAGATAGCAAATAAAGCCAAGCATCAAAGAATTTCAAGGCTAGAACTTTAACCAAATAAAGGTGCAAAATTTTGACACAAAGAACATTTTATTTCATATTTGCAATTTACAACAACTAAGCTTCCGATTCAATATATTTGTAGTGCAACCCTTTATATTTATACCCCTGCTCTGAAGGGGACAGTATACTGTTTAACCCAGTCTATCTGTCCGTCCATCCGTCTCATTTAATTTCTGTCACATTTTTCTCAGCAACTACAAATAAAAGCTACTGAAATTATTATCAGTCAGCATGCTTTACTGTGTGACACAGTTTCAGATTCATCTCCATCAACTTCCTGATAACTAAATACTTATATATTCTATACATAATGGCCATGTATGAAATTTTCATCTCATTTTTAGCTCACCTGGCCCAAAGGGCCAAGTGAGCTTTTCTCATCACTTGGAGTCCATCGTCCTTCGTCGTTGTCCGTCATCGTTAACTTTTACAAAAATCTTCTCCTCTGAAACTACTGGGCCAAATTTGACCAAACTTGGCCACAATCATCATTGGGGTATCTAGTTTAAAAAATGTGTCCGGTGAGCCAGCCAACCAACCAAGATGGCCGCCATGGCTAAAAATATAATATAGGGGTAAAATGTAGATTTTGGCTTATATCTCTGAAACCAAAGCATTTAGAGCAAATCTGACAGGGTAAAATTGTTTATCAGGTCAAGATCTATCTGCCCTGAAATTTTCAGATGAATTGGAAAACCCGTTGTTGGGTTGCTGCCCCTGAATTGGTAATTTTAAGGAAATTTTGCCGTTTTTGGTTATTATCTTGAATATTATTATAGATAGAGATAAACTGTAAACAGCAATAATGTTCAGCAAAGTAAGATCTACAAATAAGTCAACTTGACCAAAATGGTCAGTTGACCCCTTAAGGAGTTATTGCCCTTTATAGTCAATTTTTAACAATTTTTCGTAAATTTTTGTAATCTTTTACAAAAATCTTCTCCTCTGAAACTACTAAGACAAATTAACCAAACTTGTCCACAATCATCATTAGGGTATCTAGTTTAAAAAATGTGTCCGATGATCCCGCCCGCGAACAAAGATGGCCGACATGGCTAAAAAAAATAGTACATAGGGTAAAATGCTCATATCTCTGAAACCAAAGCATTTATTGCAAATCTGATGAGGATAAAATTGTTCATTAGGTCAAGATCTATCTGCCCTGAAATTTTCAGACTAATCAGGCAACACGTTGTTGGGTTGCTGCCCCTGAATTGGTAATTTTAAGAAAATTTTGCAGCTTTTGGTTATTATCTTGAATATTATTATAGATAGAGATAAACTGTAAACAGCAATAATGTACAGCAAAGTTAGATCTACAAATAAGTCAACATGACCAAAATGGTCAATTGACCCCTTAAGGAGTTATTGCCCTTTATAGTCAATTTTTTACAATTTTCATAAATTTTGTAAATTTTTGTAAATTTTTACAAAATATTTTCCACTGTAACTACCGGGCCAAGTTCATTATAAATAGAGATAATAGTAAGGAGCAAGAATGTTCAGTAAAGTAAGGTCTACAAACACAACACCATCACCAAAACACAATTTTGTCATGAATCCATCTGTGTCCTTTGTTTAATATGCACATAGACCAAGGTGAGCGACACAGGCTCTTTAGAGCCTCTAGTTCTACTTGTTGGGGATGATGAAGACCAGGAATATCTGCCTACCATATTTAAATACTTAATTATGTAATAGAGTGCTAGAGTTGCATTTACAATTTTACAAAGGAATAAATGTTATGTGAAACACTCCAATGGTTCAAGATTTATTGAATTATGCTTTTCACTAAACTCCAATATTATTAATAAAGAAATACAAAAAGGCAAAAAAAGAAGAACCATTCAACATAGGAATCTGATTCAGTTAGTTATATACAATAAATAACAAATGACTGCAAGAAAGACCATTATAAAGTATAAAATTGAGAATGGAAATGGGGAATGTGTCAAAGAGACAACAACCCGACCATAGAACAGACAACAGCAGAAGGTCACCAACAGGTCTTCAATGCAGCGAGAAATTCCCGCATAAATTTTAAAACAATACTTCAATTTATTTAAATTTCTATGGCAAACATTTGTTACAATAAATTATCATAATTTTTGGTACAATGTTCAATAAATGCAGATGACAGTCATAGTAAATTGATATTTTTGAAATTTTAAACATTCCAGAAGTTGATACTTTATAAGGTCAGAAATAGAACCAAACAAGTCAGAGGGATAAATGATCATTAGTCAAAGTGAAAGAACTGAAACCTATTACTGCCAAACTTCTCTTCTCTTATATCATCTGTGCATTATAAAACTCCTTGTATGTGGTCTGAAAGCTTTCAGTGCAAATCATACACACTATTGACATTAAACAAAAGGGCATTTAATTAAATTTTACCTTTGCTTGTGATGAGTAAATTCCTGTGAAATTTTTCAGAGGATACATAAAATAGAAAGACTAAAAAAATCATTCATGGTATGAAAGATAACACCAAAAAAAGACGGGAAAGAAAATTAAACAGACATAAAAAGATGGCATGTTGATCTCTAGATGTGTTTTTTTCCCATTTTATTGTTTTTGTTTGGCAACTCTTGCATTGGCATGTACCAATAATAGAATTGAGAATGGAAACTGGGAATGCTTCAAAGAGACAACAACCCAACCAAAGAGCAGAAAACAGTCCAAATCAACCAATGAGTCTTCAATACAGCAAGGAAATCTTGCACCCGGAGGCAGGCTTTAGCTGGCCCCTAAACAATAATGCAACTAGTTCAGCAAAATGAACACACACTAAACTCATAAAGATATAAATGAACCAAAATATAAAAAAAAAACAAAACTAACAAATGTTACTTTATTGAAATTGCTTTCAGGCACACCGAAGGAGCTCCCACTTTGAAGTAGCACGAGACATGTTGAAGAGGGCCCAGAGGATGAACCCAAATAACACTGAAATAAACAAAGAGCTTCAGGAATTGGACAGGTAATGACGATTATAGAATGAATAAGACGTTTGTTAGTGCTACAAAAAGTTTTCAGAAATGAAAAGATGAATACATGTTTTTGATGGGGAAGAAATTATTTTATCAAATAATTCATTGCCATTTTGTTATGAAAAAGTACATTTGACTTGCATTAACATAGCATTGTTAAGAACACTAGGTTTGGTCTTAAATTGATAGATAGAGGCTGTTCCAGAATTAAAGGCATGGGGAGCATGGGAGGCTATTTTTTAAGACCTAATCACCCATAGGATAAGATTTTCATTTTGCTTATAATTCTTACAAAATTCTTATGAAAATATGACCATCCATATATATTAATTAATTTGAGATCTAGAGCTTCCAATCCCCCACCCGATAAATTTTGGAACAGCCTTAATCATAAATTTAAAAGACATGACATGATAAATTTTGAATAACAGATCAACATAAAAAGATGGTTTGTTTACCTCGTGTTGTGTTTTTCCATTTCATTATTTTGTAAGGCAACTATTGCATTTGCATGTACTAAATTTTAAATTTCATAAATAAAAGCAAAATTAGTGAAAACAGAAAAAAGAAATAAAAAATTGTAGATTTTCCCAAAATATAGCTCATTATTATTATTCAATGGTACTGTTAACCAACTAAGTTTTCTTGAGCAAAATATTTATAAACTTTGGCAAGAAGATAAAAATACCACAAATATAATTTTTTCCAATTTTGTCTATATTATATCTTCTCTTAAATGAATACATCAACAAAATTACAAAACTGCTGTAATAAATTTCATCAAAGTCATAATAAAATATATGCATTGGAATAAATTGTAATAATAGTATTTGATTGAATTATATTTGAATTGTTTGTTTAAAATGTATTACTTACAATTTTAGAGACATCAAAAAGTTTAGTTTGGTAGAAAAGGACATGTACCAAAAAATGTTTTCCAAACCTACAGGACAGTCAGCAGAAGGTTGGTTACTAACCTAAGACACACAGACACTGCCTAAAATACACAGTGAACCATAACAAAAAAGACAGCAAATAAATACTCAAGTCATATTCTACCTAAGTGTAATTATTCACATCTGCAAGTTGTATTGACAATCTTTTTGCCAGGAATGTCAATGATTTTGATGTTTATGAATTCTGCTTTTAAGGACTATCAAGGACTGTGCTGTATGAATTCATGCATGTTAATAATATTGCTTATTTGAAGTCAACATGTATCATACATAATATAGCTTATGGTGTACTGTTACACCACTGTCCCAGGTTAGGGGGAGGGTTGGGACCTTCAAACAAGTTTAACCCCACATGATTCTGCAAGTCAGGAGCCTGTAATTCAGTGGTTGTTGTTTGTTGCTGTGTTACATATTTGTTTTACGTTCATTATTTTGTACATGAATTAGGCCATTAGTTTTCTTGTTTGAATTGTTTTACATTTGTCATTTCGGGGCCTTTTATAGCTGACTATACGGTATGGGCTTTGCTCATTGTTGAAGGCCATACCGTGACCTATAGTTGTTAAATTTCTGTGTCATTTGGTCTCTTTTGGAGTGTTGTCTCATTGGCAATCAAACCACATCTTCTTATTTTTATATAAAAGTATATATATTTATTAAACTCAGTGGTATATCTCATTTGCTCTGTAATAATATGGCAATTTGAAATGACTTTGACAGATCTATTGTTTGTTGTATGCAATATACTACTGTAGATTCATTTATTTTCGTGGATTGAGGAAAAATTGTATTTTCATGGATATTTGATTTCATATATGGTTTTGCCAAAAAGAGCATTCAAGCCTGTAGAAAAGTTGTTCTTCGTTGAACATTTAAATTTGTGGTTTACAAATCAATGAAAATTGGTATCCCAGGAATAAGTATGAATTCACAGTATTTAAAAGAAAAACCTGCATCATCTTTGCAATGATTGTTAGTCATAATAGAAAAACAAAGGATATGGGGTATCCATCCATGACACAAAAACAGTACATGCACAGCAAAAAACACACAAAAACCAAAGGAACAGCATTCACAGTGAGGTTTTCAACACAGAGCCAAAAAAACAAAAAACAAACTCTCACCATAATTTTTCTTTCTAAAATTTAACCTTCCTTGGTTTCACTGAAATATGTGATCAAAACATAGACACAGAAGATCTATTGACATTAGTAAAAATATTTTTTTAGAGAAGATTTATAATATGAATTAAAGGAGACATGGGGTATATATGCCTTGTTTAAATAAATATGTTAGAATATCCACTTGGAAGTTCTATATATGTTTTTATACGACCGCAAAAAAATTTTTGTGGTCGTATATTGGTATGAGGTGGCGTCGTCGTCCGGCGTCGTCCTGCCTTGTCCGAAGACACATTGGTTTTCGCACTCTAACTTTAGTTTAAGTGAATGGATCTCTATGAAATTTTACCACAAGGTTCAATACCACAAAAGGAAGGTTGGGATTGATTTTGGGGGTTATGGTACCAACAGTAAAGGAATTAGGGGCCAAAAAGGGGCCAAAAATAAGCATTTTTGTAACTTCCAGACATAACTTGTGTGTTAGTGTATGGATCTCTCTGACATTGTACCACAAGGTTCCATATCACAAAAGGAATGCTGGGATTGATTTTGGGGGTAATTGCCGCAAAATTTTAGGAATTAGGGGCCAAAAAAAGGGGCAAAAAACAAGCATTTTTCTAGTTTCATGACAATAACTTGTGTGTAAGTGTATGGATCTTTCTGAAATTGTACTACAAGGTTCCATATCACAAAGGGAAAGCTGGAATTGAGTTTGGGGGTAATTGCCGAAACGTTTAGGAATTTGGGGCCAAAAAGGGGCCAAGAATAAGCATTTTTTTAGTTTCCAGACAATAACTTGTGTTCAAGGGTATGGATCTCTCTGAAATTGTACTGCAAGGTACCATACCACAAAGGGAAGGCTGGGATTGATGATGGGGGTAATAGCCTCAATATTTAAGGAATTAGGGGCCAAAAAGGGGCAAAAAACAAGCATTTTTCTAGTTTCAGGACAATAACTTGTGTGTAAGTGTATGGATCTTTCTGAAATTGCACTACAAGGTTCCATATTACAAAGGGAAAGCTGGGTTAGAGTTTTGGGGTAATTGCCTTAAACGTTTAGGAATTTGGGGCCAAAAAGGTGCCAAAAAACACATTTTTCTAGTTTCCAGACAATAACTTGTGTTCAAGTGTATGGATCTCTCTGAAATTGTACTGCAAGGTACCATACCACAAAGGGAAGGCTGGGATTGAGTTTGGGCGTGATGAATCATAAGGGGGTTCAAAAATTTGGGGGGGGGGGGGGGGGATTTTTTTTTTTTTCCTTTTTTTCCTTTTTTTTAATTTTCCATTTTAAGTTGGTTATTTCTGATTTATATTTAAAAGCAAATAATAATGATATGGTAGGAGATACACACCAAACAGGATGTGTAAATTATTATATAATAAGTATTGTGCAATAGCAAGAAATTTTCAATTGCACAGTATTGCACAATAGCAAGAAATTTTCAATTGCAGAGTATTGCGCAATAGCAAGAAATCTTCAATTGCACAGTATTGCACAATAGCAAGAAATATCCAATAGCACAATATTGCGCAATAGCAAGAAATTGTCAATTGTACAGTATTGCGCAATAGCAAGAAATATTTAATTGCACAGTATTGTGCAAAAGAAGATACTTCATATAAATTGCTTATTTCTTGACCAATTTCAATGGGGTTTTATTCTTGAATTCTTGGGGTTCTTTAATATGCTGAATCTAACCGTGTATTTAGTTTTTGGATTTTCGGCCCCGTTTTTAAATTGGTCCACATTGAGGTCCAAAGGGTCCAAAATTAAACTTTGTTTGATTTCATCAAAAATTGAATTATTGGGGTTCTTTGATATGCCAAATCTAACCGTGTATTTAGATTCTTAATTTTTGGTTCCGTTTTTCAAATTGGTCTACATTAAGGTCCAAAGGGTCCAAAATTAAACTTAGTTTGATTTTTACAAAAATTGAATTCTTAGGGTTCTTTGATATGCTGAATCTAAACATGTATTTAGATTTTTGATTATGGGCCCAGTTTTCAAGTTGGTCCAAATCGGGGTCCAAAATTAAACTTTGTTTGATTTCAACAAAAATTGAATATATGGGGTTCTTTGATATGCTGAATCTAACCATGTATTTAGATTTTTGATTTTTGGGCCCCGTTATCAACTTTGTCCACATTGAGGTCAAAAGGGTCCAAAATTAAACTTTGTTTGATTTCATCAAAAATTGAATTCTTGGGGTTCTTTGATATGCTGAATCTAACCATGTATTTAGATTTTGGATATTGGACCATAATAGGTGAATGTCCAATTTTAAATTTTTAAGTTCTTAGACCACATTCATTCTGTGTCAGAAACCTATGCTGTGTCAAATATTTAATCACAATCCAAATGCAAAGCTGTATCAAGCTTGAATGTTGTGTCCATACTTGCCCCAACTGTTCAGGGTTCGACCTCTGCGGTCGTATCAAGCTGCACCCTGCGGAGCATTTTATTTCCTTTTGCAGGCATTTCCAAATCACCAAGCATTTACATTTTTTTTTATGGACTGGAAAAAACTCTTAAACATGTGCAGATATGAGATGTTCATATCTTCTAAATGTTCATTTCTTTAAACTATCATTGTTTTGTTGCTGACCCATTGAATTCTCCCAACATCAGGTTTTATTGATATATTTGACTAAAATTTTCACAACATCAACACAAATTTATCAGGTTGCCACTGCAACATGTTTTTTCACTTTTATTTTGTTTAAAGAAGGTTAGTATTGATTTATTAATATGAAGTAAATTTTGAAATATTATACAATTTTAGAAAAAGAGCAGGAGAACTTGAAAGCAAAGAAAAAAAGAGAGAAAAATTTGAATGTTTCAGATGATTTTCAGAAGATGGTTGAAGAAAAACTGCTGTAAGTTTTGTCCTATATGTTATGAATGCACCACTTTACATGTTAATATGTCTTAGTAGATTTACATCTAGAAAAATAGTTCATGATATATATTGTGTATTTTGAATGAAATAATTTATCATTATATGCCTACCTTCAGTAACACTAGCTGTTGAGTACAATTTCCAGAGAACTATTAAGTCTTAAAATATATTCGTTATACCCATTGTCTATCTGTTGGTATGTCTATCCTTCCATCTGTTCATGTGTCCCATGAAAGTTTCTTGCATTTTTTTTCAAAATTTTAAAAACATATTTCCTGAATGGCTTTATGTCAGCATGTTCTACATTGTGACATGGGTTCAGATGCATAGCACATTAACTTCCATTAACCAAATACTTTTATATACTAAACACAACAGACATGTATGAAATTTTTCCTCCCATTTTTATTTTGTGAACATCTAATCAGAGCATCCTGAAATTAGTTATATGGCTTTATGTCACCATGTTATTATATTGTGTTACATTGTTTGAGATTCATTCATCAACTTCCTATTAACTGAAAACTTATAAATTCAAAACACTATGGCAGTGTATGAAATTTTCGTCACACTTTTACTACAAATCAGACCTTCCTAAATTTTGAATGTATGGGACAGGTATCATGGCTTTATGTCAGAAAAAAATGAAGATAATTTCATGTGTCTGAAGCTCAGCATGCTGTACCGTGTGAGGCATTTTCCGAATCAGAGATCATAATACTGATTAGTTCAGTAAATTAAAAGCATTCAAGGTATATAGTAACACTAGTTATCTTGTATGTGGACGTATGGAAGTAGACAGAATACAGAATTTCAGTTTTTACTTTTTGCAACTTCTCTGGTATGAAACTTTTTTTCCCCTAGTGAATTCATTAAAGATGATCTGCAAGATGACATGCCATTCCCAGCCTTAAACTTGTCAGTTGGGGAGATAGCATGTATAATGGAGAAATGTGAGAACCTTGGATTAAACTGTAAACAGATTGGTTCAGTAAGTATAAATATATTGTTTCTACAAGTTTAATTATTCAAAAAAGAAATAAAAATTTGAAGGATGATGCAATATTTTAAAATCTGTCAAATAGATGTAAAAGGACAAGTTCACAACACTATAATATTGTCGTTTTACATGTCCTCAGTTGCTAAAATGTTTTAATAAACTTGAAAATGGAAATGGGTAATGTGTCAAAGAGACAACAACCCGACCAAAGAGCAGAAGCACAGCCCAAGGCCACAAATGAGTCTTTGACACAGCGAGAAAATTCCAGCACACCGAGGCTGGTTTCAGCTGGTTTTTCCTAAACAAAAATGAGAACTAGATCAGTGAAAATAGACGTCACACTCAACTCCAAAACATATAAATAAACTAAACTTAAAAAAAACATGTTTTTATTTGTTAATTATGGCGATCAGAATAAATGAGGAAAAAATAAGCTGGCTCTGGACTACAAGGATAACAGATCTAGATAGATGGATAATGCTACTGGAAAACAAAAATTTTATTTATAAACATAAATAGGCAGATCCAGGGGGTGGGGCCCTGGGGGGCCCGGGCCCCCCTTTCATGGGAAAAATTTGCCTCCCCCCCCCCTTTTAGGTCAATCAGCGGGCCCCCCCTTATGAAAAGTTCTGGATCTGCCACTGCACTGACTTATTTTTTGGTATTTTTCCTAAAAACAATGGATGACATCATGAATGCTTATAGTTTCACCATACATTTTCATGCTGGTTCATAAAAATGTTGAAGGTTTTCTTTTTTTCTGTTGTATAATCAATTTCTTCCCATTAGCATGTTATATCGAATAGGTGATAGGAAATTTTCATTTTAGGACAGTTGAATTTCCTTTAAAACATTGATGCACATTCACCGTGCTGATGTTAAGCATTAATGATGTGATTTATTTATTATAGGGTCAACATTACAGACTTAAGATAACAAAGATGAAGAAAGAGGAAACAGCATAGTGAATTAACTAGTCATATCATTACACATGTTTGAATGTTAATGTCTGTTACATTATATTTAATGTGATTGTTGGATGACTGTTATGTGTAAACTAGTATAAGTAACATCAAGAAGGGAAAAACAAAATAGTGAATTTACCATGCAGTATTAAGCAAACTGTATTAGAAATGTAGTGTACAAATGAGATTTAAAAAAAGGAGGCGGCGCAATGTGTACTCGAGTGAAACAAAGAAAGCGGAAATAGAATAATGATACAAACTTTATTCATCATTAAGGGCTGTTCCAGAAAATACTATGTCCCTTCAGGGACGGCACTTTTTTTAACCCCACCACCCACTGAAATAAAAATAAATTAGAACAAGACTCCCTTTGCATTTTGGTATTTCAAATACAACCACCAACAGTAAATTTTAAAAAATTGCCTTCCCTGGGGGGACATAGTATTTTCTGGAACAGGCTTAAGAAAAATTGACTGTTAACATTTTGAATAAATATTGTAAAGCTACTCAATGTATATTAAAAGTAATAGTTAAATGAAGAAAATATAGAAAAATTTTCCTGTATGACAAAGCATACTTTAACTGTTAACAGACAGGACAGACGCTAATATAAGTACACCTGCTTTAACTGTAAAGGCTATTCCATTAAAATGTGTGTGGGAGGGTAGGAAGGGACTTTCAAAATATCCCTACAACCAAGAACCATTTTTTAGATAATTTTTCATAATGGTAATAGATTCATACTGAAAAAAGACCCATGACCCACATTCAATAATTAAACTTCCCTTCCTACCCTTCCACATACATTTTAATGGAATAGCCCTTAACTGACAGGATAGATTGTAATATCAGTACACATTAGATTGTAAGGTTGTTTAATGTTATCCGACTGAAATACAGTCAGTTTTATATTTTATGATTTTTGTTGTCATAGTTTTTATAATCGATAATTTGAACACATTTTAGTCTCAGTTTATGAAAATAATGTTTAACCAATAACTGAGTTTGGTATTTTTAGAAATTCCAGGATGCAAAATACCAGTACAGTTTTGTGCTTGTGGTTTATAAACTAATTACTAAAATGTTTAAGCAAGTATAAGCTTTCTTCTGTCAATGTTAGTTCTAAAAAAAAAGTAAAATCACACACACAAAAATACTGAACTCCGATTCAGATTTGTAAGACACGGTTTATAATAAATTTAATTTCCAATGATTTGCATTATTAATCAATTTCTAAATACAAAACATTCAATTTTCAGCAACCCATCCACTTTTATGTAAATATGTATATTGTATATAGAATCATTATTGAAATGAAAAACTTATAATTATGAAAGTAGTTTCTAATTTCAAAGATACTGTATTAAGTTGGATATTTTACTAGGCAAGTAAAATTTCCTAATCTTATTTTTATTATTGTACATGTATGTTCATAGTATTTTTTCAAACAACATGAAAGTTGATTGGTATAAATGTCTTTTACATTTTAATTTTACAATTTTAAAAAGAAAACATAAGAAGTTTTGATAAATATAAAGTTCAACTTAACTTTTTTTTCTCAAAATAATAGAGCATGCTTGTGTATTGCTTTGATGATTTTGTATTTTAAACTTAAATTCAGACCTGTAGTCTGAACAATGGACACCATTTTAAGCATGATTGCACAAACAGTTCAGATCTGTCTTTTAGAAGAGTGATAGTTTTTGCCAAGAAAAGAGGACACATTTTTTGTGCAATCAACTCATTTTATAGTTTTCAAAGTAGAACCTCCAAACTTTTTCAATTAACATTTTCCATGGCTGGCTCCCTTTTTTATGATTTTGCCTCTTTTATCTTTTATAATCTCCTTGCAAAATAAAGTTCTCCTTAGTTTTGATAAGTTTTTGAAAATCCTTATATATTATCTTTCATTATAAGCATTCAAAACAAATTTTCTTTTAAATGTACCAAATATTAGTGTCACTAACATTTTCAAATTAAAAACCACAAGCATAGCAACCTATAAATTTGAGTCTTAAAACAATTTAAGTGAGAAATAATTGTTACAATACCACCATTTGCTGTGTTCCTTATGTTACTGTTGCAATTCACATGTTATATTATGCACAAGTTTTTTAGACTTGTAGGATAGCCTCACTTTATAAACCACATGTTAAATTATGCACCAATGTATTAGACCTATAGCATAGCCACACTGTATCAACAGAAATATTGCTTATTTTTTGGTATATAAGTATTGAAAGATTTCTATACCACTTGAGGTATATTCAAATATCCAATTTTTAGATGAACCTGAGGAACAATTTATCTTGATTCACTGATACTTTTTTGAATATTTCCAAATAATTATAATATAGTACTTCTTTGATTTTATAAAACAAAATTTATACCACAAGTTATACCAGTTTCATACTTTATTTGTGTACAGCCATTTTTCTTTCAAATTTTACAGTAACTGTACTGAGAATGTTTATCAATACTAGTACATTTTACGAACTGTTTTAGTGTATGTTTTCAAGTCTCATGAGCAAATATAGCTGCTTATAAATCAGGGATGTTAGAATTTTTTTTTTTTTTGTGTTTTTGAATTTTTGTCATAACCTTTTATAGTTTTTTCTATAAATGATAAAACCAGATTTCCATGTTTGTTTTTTTTTTGCCTGATTGTAATATCTCCCTAAATTGATTTGTATGCCCCCACTGTAGCGAAGGGGGCATTAAGTTTTACCCTTGTCCGTCTGTACGTACGTTCATCTGTACATCTCAAAATTGGTTTCCGTTCTCTATCTTTAGTTTGCCTCAACAAAATGTTATGAAACTTAACACAATGCTTATTACCACAAAACACAGGTCAAGTTTGAATTTTGGTGGCGTCACTTTTACCATTCTAGAGTTATGCCCCTTTACAAATGGAAAATTGCTGAATTTTTCGTTTCCGTTCTCTAACTTTAGTTTGTCTCAACCAAATGATATGAAACTTATACACAATGCTCATTACCACTAAACACAGATCGAGTTTGAATTTTTGTGGAATCACTTTTACCTTTCAAGATTTATGCCCCTTTACAAAATCAAAAATTGCTGAATTTTTCGTTTCCGTTCTCTAACTTTAGTTTGCTTCAACCAAATGTTATGAAACTTATACACAATGCTTATTACCACAAAACACAGATCAAGTATGAATTTTAGTGGCATCATTTTTACCATTCTAGGGTGATGCCCCTTTACATAGGAAAAATTGCTGAATTTTTCGTTTCAGTTCTCTAACTTAAGTTTGTCTCAACTAAATGTTATGAAATGTATACATAATGCTTATTAAGTCCAAGCACACAGTTATCGTCCTTTGGTTTTCGTTGTCTACGAATATAGTCCCTAGTGTGAACAGTGTATAACTTGCATTTTTTTTTGATACACTTTCCCAATTTATTTCTTGATATTTTATGCATGAAATATTAAGTAAGGGGATGAAATTACATGTTAAAAAAATTTGGGTGCTGAATCTTTATGTTAAGTAGTGATTTGGTCCAGTTAGAAAAGGTCAAAAATTAGAATGTCTGAAGCTGTCAAACTGAATTTTAGCCCCCCTTAACACAAAATTGTCAATATTTTGAGTTAGAGCTGGTAGAAGTTTCTATAATTTTGATATTATTTGTATCAATAGTAGTACACTACACTGTAAAAATCTTTTTGAGATAGAGCAGGTGTGATTTTTTTAATTTGAATTTATTGTCTAAAAGAAATGCACTACGAAATAACTGTGTTCTCGAGCCATTACCACAAAACTCTTTCAAGTCCAAATTTTGGTAGGGTCACTTTTACAGTTCTTGAATTATATCCCTTCATATTGTTATATGCTAGCGGGGGCATCATCTGTGTCCCTATGGACAAATTCCCCATTTATTTGTTTAAGATTTGATGTGTATCTCTGATTCCTGAGACAACAAGAATTGTTTATAATGTTAATGATTGTCACGGCAGGGGCATTAACTAACTACTTTTAAAAAAGCTTTAAATTTTAGAAGGTAGAACCCCTGGATCTTTCATACTTTTTATCTTTGCCTTATGTAACGATGTTTCCATCTGTCATATGGCCATTGTCTTTAATCAATAGGTCAACTATATTTGGTGTATGGAATGATTGTAAGGTGTATATGTCTGTCTCACAGGTATCATCTGGCCTTGAACTCATTTTCATGGTTCATTCATTAATGTTTAGTTTTAATGGTTAAGTTTGCTTCTTAGATACTATATGCAATAGGTCAACTTTATTAAAAGCATGTAATGATTGTAAGGTGTTCATGTCTGTCTGGCAGGGTTCAACTGACCTTCACCTCATTGTCGTGGTTCATTGATCAATGTTAAGTTTTCATGGTTAAGTTTGTTTCTTTGATGTGCAATAGGTCAACCATATTTAAAGCATATTTGGTGTATGGAATGATTGTAAGGTGTACATGTATTTCCAGTTTGATTTATCTAACCTTGACTTCATTTTCTTGGATCATGTTAAGTATGTGATAGTTGTAGTAAAGCTTTATATTTAGGACTATCAACATAATATCAATGGTTAGTAAAGAAGGCGAAACATTTCAGCGTGTGCTAAGTACAATTTTTTCAAATTTTATTTTCTTTTTTTGTTATAAGATAAAAACAAGATATAGATTTTGGATGTATGTGTTGATAAGTATCAAGAAGAAATCTCTAATGAATTCATTCTTGAAGAACTCAGTAGTGGTGCTATTGGTTCAGGTAATTTGTTCTAATCTTTATATACATGACCTTTCTTTGTATGAGGATTTGTTATATGGGTTAATATGTCAACATGCATAAGGCAATGACCGTTTTTCAAACTCTTGTGATGTTGTAAAACAAATAAAGTTCAAATATCTTCCTCAGTAACAACTTACTACATTGCAACAACATTTGATATTTGGATTCTTTATAGATTCTGACAATAATATGGTACATGAACCTGTTCAAAAGTTATAGATGTCCTACTTATACTGGAATTGCATAGGTCTAATTGATGTAACAACTTTATTCTTCTTCTGAAATATGACAATCAACTTATTTGACACTTAAGTCACAAGAAATAACATGTGATTGTCCATCAATATTTGGCATATGGGTCTGGAAGTTGAAGCCAGGAGTTGTATATGAATATTTGACCTATGTTATATTGCCTTAAAACCATCTCTTTTCTTGAGTGTGAACTGTTTTAGGTTTTTGACCTGCCTTGATGGTGTAAAAAAGTGTGTAGACAATAATGCCCCTTCAACATCTTAAATAAGTAGTTTCAATCAGCTTTTTCGGATAAAATAAATTTCACAAACACTGAATTTAAAGACCGTTGCAACATGACAAATGAACTTTACCCTTCACTACAGGACTTAAACATCACTGAAAATGGCATAATAAAATTATTATCAAATCTGAACCCATATAAGGCTGCTGGACCAGACTCTATAACATCAAGGGTACTAAAAGAACTTTCATCAGATATTGCGCCAATATTAACAACTATCTTCAGGCGGTCCTATGAAACAGGTGACTTACCAGATATTTGGAAAAGAGCAAACGTAAGTCCAATATTCAAGAAGGGAAAATGGTTTGATGCAATAAACTACCGTCCAGTCTCACTTACCTGCATTTGCTGTAAAATCATGGAGCACATTGTAACAAGCCACATAATGACCCATGCTGACAAACATGATATACTTTACCCATTACAACATGGATTCAGGAGAGGCCTATCCTGCGAAACACAACTGATAGACTTCATAAATGACATCACCATAAACATGGATGCAGGGAAACAAACAGACTGCCTAATTATGGATTTTTCAAAGGCCTTCGATAAAGTAAGTCAGTTTACTAATACACAAACTGGATCACTATGGCATCAGAGGTAAAACCAACAAATGGATACAAAATTTCCTTTCTGACAGGAAACAAGTGGTAGTTGTAGGAAAAATCTGACACAATCAATGTAGAATCAGGCGTCCCACAAGGCTCTGTACTTGGACCCAGTTTGTTCCTCTTCTACATTAACGACATACCAGAAGGGGTATCAGGTCGTTCCGGCCCCAAACCGATCCGGCCCTAAGTCGATCCGGCCCAAGTCGATCCGTCAGACGTCGATCCGGCCCCAAGTCGATCCGGCCCCATCATGAAATAATGAATAATTTATATAAACTTCGGAGGATTTGGTGACATATTTGAATCAGGATAAATGGAATTTGTAAAAAGTATGGATGATTAATGAC